TTGCAAGACCAACTCTATTTGGTCAATTTCGATACGCTGATTACGAAAATCGATGTTATACGGAGAAATTCGGTACCAGGAAGCCTCTATTTCACGTTCAAACCTCGTTTTCGTCCAACCTTGAACGTTGAACGAAAGTTTGTAAATGAATCGATTTTTATCAATTTTGATGTGCTGATTTCAAAAAATTATTTTATAAATGTAAATTCAGTACCAGGAAGCCTTTATTTCATGTCCAAATCTCGTTTCCATCAAAATTTGAATGTTGAAAAAAAGTTTGTAAATTTTTTATTCTCATCAATTTCGATATACTGATTTCGAAGGTTGATCTAATACGGCGGAATTCTGTATGCACTGGTCCCTTTTCATGCTGAAATCGTTTATTTATCGTTATCAATATTTCTAGCGTAAAATCTGCTGCGCACATAGATTTGCTTTAAAAGCTTAAAAAAGATTATGTCAAAAGGCAATATAATACGGCTAATAAACATTTAAAGTTGTAAACAATCTTTTGGTGATACAAAACTTGAAAATGGCTTTGAAAAAAGAAAACAATTAGTAAAATAAAGCTTTTCGTCTGACACTCTTCAGAGTTTAAAATGTCAGAACATTGGTCGAAAAATCTACGCTAGGAAATATATATACCCAGTTGTGGATCGAAATAGGCCAATCAGAAACAGGAGCACATGACTGTATAGGTTGACCAATCAGTGCCGCTTGCCTATTGAGAATGTTACTAATTGAGTCTTAGGTGAAAACGACTTCCTTTTGTCTACACAGAAGCGGTTTTTTCGAGCTTATGTAGATAGATTCCAAAACTGCTAGGTAGAACGACGATCGGGCTTTACCAATAATCCGAAACATGTCGCCATTATAGTTTTTTGCACAATCTAGGTTTTCTAGTAAATGCTACCCGATAGCAGAATCGCAGGTTTTAGTTGTAATTTTAGATTTGCAAGACCGAGGTGGCTGTACTCTTTGGAGATGGGTTTTGTTTCTAATATTAGACGGAACATGTTGTTTTATTCTATCCTCCAATCTTTGGGTAGTGCGTCCTACGTAGCCAGAATCACACTGGCACGTAAATTCATATACAACGGAACTTTTTTTGTGTGGCAGGAACGCAGTCATTTTGAATGGACGGAAGGGCCTTTTTCGTACTATAAACAACACGTGGGTTGACTGCAAAGAAACAATTTGCAATGGCCTGTTTTATTTGGCTTGCAAAACGTAGGGAACTGTCACCGATCCAGGGTAGTTTTAGATAGACCGGGCACTTTTGAGGACCAAATTTTACGTCAGCCGAGAAATTTCCTATCTTTTCCTTAATGTAAACTGAAATAACAACCTCTGGATAGCCGTTCTCCAGAAAGATCTTAGTTAGTTTTTTCACTGCGCTACTTAAATTGTCATACAGAAAATTTATTCAGTGGTCTTGCTTCATGCTGTCTATCATAACAACATTGTCTTCAATTAAAAGGCGAGCAATAGTTGGTCTTCACGCATTCTCCGACATCGATTATGTGTCCATGATTTCCAAAAAAGGGAAAAAGTCATTCTGAAAAGCAATGTTAAAGCGCAACGAATTCGTGAGCACTTTTGCAAGGCTTGGAACAGATGTCCAGCCCATCCAAATGCTATCGAGGTCCTGGAGAAGTTTACATGCTTTCTTTACGGTTTTTCAACAACTGTCACCAAGGCCAATGGCGCCTGCTCAAAGAGTTTCTGGAAGATTTTTGAAACTAAAGGGAAAGTTGTTGACCTTAGTTTGATGCAACCGTGTGTTGCCAATCTACAATTGCACATAGCTAGATCAGCTTATGCTGCAAACATTTTCAGGAATGCAGATCAGTTGCAATTAAGCATTGGCAGTCCAGTTGATCATGGTTGGGATGCAGCCGGTAACGCATCGTGGAATAAAGACATATACCTAGATAATAATGCCGAGCTGCTTCTAAATATGAATCAAGATGCTGAATAAGACAATACTGACTCAATGAATGACAATTGCTTTGAGGATGAGTATAGCAATGACTCTGATGACAACGGATACTAGAATGGTTATTCAAAACAACTTTAAATGTTTATTAGCCGTATTATATTGCCTTTTGACATAATCTTTTTTAAGTTTTTAAAGTAAATCTATGTGTGCAGCAGATTTTACTCCAGAAATATTGAAAACGATAAATAAACGATTTCAGCATAAAAAAGGGACCAGTGCATAAAAAATTCCGCCGTATGAGATCAACCTTCGAAATCAGTATATCGAAATTGATGAGAATAAAAAATTTACAAACTTTTTTTCAACATTCAAATTTTGATGAAAACGAGATTTGGACATGAAATAAAGGCTTCCTGGTACTGAATTTACATTTATAAAATAATTTTTTGAAATCAGCCCATCAAAATTGATAAAAATCGATTCATTTACAAACTTTCGTTCAACGTTCAAGGTTGGACGAAAACGAGGTTTGAACGTGAAATAGAGGCTTCCTGGTACCGAATTTCTCCGTATAACATCGATTTTCGTAATCAGCGTATCGAAATTGACCAAATAGAGTTGGTCTTGCAAATTCCCTCGATGAGTGACGATACCCCCCCTTCCTCGCCTGGTCTATGTACTTTGTAGCATGTTCTCTCAATGAAAAGCTTCAAAGTAAGGCCTCTTGATCTCAAACGAGAAATAACATTTAATTATTGGCAATGATTTGAAAGCAGTAAATGTAAATGGAATCAAAAAGCTGGCAGGCAGAGTGTTTCGTTAAAATATTTTGCAGCATCTATTTGACAATGTAACTGGCGCATTTAATTACCATGGAGCTCCATCATTTGAAACCGATGCTTCACATGCAGCCATGATGGAAAAATCCAATTCTAGATCAGATTCAAGCAAGCTTTTCTTATGTTTTTAACAGCAATGCCTAGCAGTATGAACCTTAATGCTCGCCGAAGAACTTTATGCTTTTTTGAGTTTAAGATGAAAGGTTCTGCGTCCCACTTTGTTCTACATCCTACTATAAGAAAATTTCTAAATATGAGAGACAGAGAAGAACATGCAGCAAAATAAGGATGTCTATTACAAGTGCGATTTTTTCCCATAAAAGACTCGCCGCGTAAGTTGCATATTTTTATCCGAAATTGCTTTTTTCAGTGATTTTGCGATTTGCATTATGTCGATTAATCAAAATTTCTTAAAAATGCCTATTCATGACTCTTAACAACTGTTCATGATCTTTATTTTTGTATTCATTTAGTGAATCGTCGTTACAAAGCACCTTTAAAAGCTAGTGAGTGCCCCAGGTACCAGTTTGAACTATATTTCTGAGGGAACTAGTGAGCAACAGCAAGCAAAACATAAACTTTCATTTTCCCTATCGCGAGTTAATTTAAAAAATAACACAAAGATAGCACATCTTTGACATTTCTTCTATTGATTCACTTTGTTTTCATGTCATATAAATATTTCTTTGATTCAACTATGTAAATTTAATTACATCTGTCAAAAAGCATAAGTGATGAAAAACATTTTTTTAAATTCTCAGACTGATGGACGTCAAAATTAGTTTGTTCTTTGAGAAACCGAACGATTAGACTATCACAATAAAACAATTAAAAATTCAATCTTTTTTATGCAATTCCCAAAAAAGAGATCCTTTATTTTGCTTGACTCAGCTTTGCTAGGAATCTTGCATCGGCTAGAATGGGGTGCAAGAGATTTGTTCTTGTCCAAAATTAACACACCAATTCAAATCTAGACTATTTGTTTGAAAAATCCTCGAAATGAGATTTTTTGCGACCCCAGCCTCAAGAAAGCAGTGACTCAAGAAATAAAACTAGACGATTTGAAGAATGGAAATTTACAAGACCGTGAGAAAATTTAACGCAGACGTGGGAACATCAGCCCACAATGACAACAACAAAGGCTCCGAAAAGTCTCTAGCGTGCCTCAACAACTAACGCTAGCCGTTAGGGAATCCAGATAAAATGACAAACAGTCCCCATGCAGCTACGACTGATTGTCGTAAGTGACAGTTTGTTCATTTCACTCTGTTCACTTTTAGCGCACACAGAAATACATAAATCTGATATCAAATAAAATGCTATCTGCTATAAGAAACGAGTATTCGGCAATCAGAAAATGTCAAGAAACGTCAGTACTCGATGCAAAATGATTAAGAAACAATTGAATTTCAAAAAATTCTAAAATTTAGAAATTTTGCAAAATTCTATCACCATGATTGGCTACTTGGCATTGAAATTGAGACTGTTAATCCTCATGTAAGTCGGCATTAGAAGGGAGGAAAGTCCTTTGACTGAAATGTCATGAGCGTTTGAAAACAATAGAAATATGGACCATTTCCAACGACAAAAACCCTTCAAACAGGTTTCTTTAGGGAAATTCCTTGATTTTAAAATACAACTGAAAATTGGAAACAAATGTCAAAATTAATAAAACTCTTAAATAACAACGAGTATTGAAATTTCCAAAGCGTAAAGAAACTGGAGTACTCCACTTTAATCTCTGTTTCTTGTAAAAAAGAGTATAGCTGTATTTTATGGGGCAATGACAAAAATAAACAAAGACGAGAAGAACCCTGCCGATTAATAAATGCTGTGTTCATTTGATCATAGTTGATGCAGTTTTCTTACACCCATTCTTACACCTTTTCTTACACAGAAATATTTCTTAGAAAAAATGTTGCCGATCTTTGACTTATTTGCTACCGCTGAATTGCCTTTGGCCCGTCCTGAGTGACAGATCCTAGGTTTATCATTTATTGTCGGGAGTATTTATAAGCTATTATTTAACCTATTATTAAACCTGACGTCTTGTTATTACAACCTGAAGGTGATTTGATCGATATTAATAAAGGAAGGTTGAATGTCATATTTCAAAACAAATACTTTTGGATCAAGATATAGCTTAAGACATCGAAACTTGTTAAAATAGAAACCCAATTTCAAGATTTAAGCAAACTAACAAATGTACTTGAACTTACTGGCTATTAGCTCTATTCCTGGAAATATATTCCCTCCGCTGCTAGCAAGAACGTTAAATGTTTTCCAAAGAAATAAATTTTCTAACAACATATGAAAATTTCTCCTCCGTAAACAAAGCTTTGAACGGTAGGGTATCTTTTTCAAGACAATGAAAAGTACACCATGCCTGCCAATTAACTGTTGCTAAAATACAGTTTGTTTGTTTGTTTAACCAAACAATTCCTTAGAGACTTGAGGCAATGATCAGTGACGACATCGATGGTAAAAGGGCTCCTATGATGATGAAGACAGAAAACAATTTGAGAATGTTGAAATGACCAAGAAAATTTAGAACTTTTTGTGGACATGTAATTGTTCTGCCTAGTGAGCCTAGGGGAGTTACTCAAAATTTTTTATATACAGAGAGATCCGTCCGCATCTATCAAAATTCACCCAAAAGTATCGAAAAAAAAATTTTACGGACCCAAAAGTACCAGCCAAAAAGTGTTGATCAGACCCAAAAATATGAAATTACAAAATCTTGTTCTTGAGCACATAGGATAACACTAGTCACAGTAATTTAGACTGTTCTCTATAATAACCAGTTTAAACACATCTGTTCTTTATTCATGTTTTTGATATTATAATGTGTTTGTTGGGCCCATAAGCATCAAAAAGATATATTGTTAAATCAGGTACCCGAAAGTATCAGGTCTCATTAAAAATCATTATCCATAATTATCAGATGGACCCCTCTGTATATTAAAATTCTAAGCGACCCCCTGGGCTAGTGAGCATTTGAAAATGTTTGAATTCTAGATTCCTTTTATTCAAAATGCCTTATACAAAGTACAAAATATTTGCGGGGAAAGACCAACTTCTGTCTGCTTTTAGAAAAAAATAACGCAAAATTTTAATTTCCACCCTTACTTCAATGCTTGAAAATTTTTTCCCCCCCCCCCCCAACCCAAGTTCTTTATGAGTTGTTCGGTAAATCTTCAGTTTGTCCTCAAAATCCTTAGTTTGTTGGTTAAAGTGTTCTTCATCTATTTCTTTGTTTGTAAATTGTACTCTTGATGACCCCCCTCCCCTCCCCCCTTAGTCTGAATGGTCAAGCTACATCGCTGATTGAAAATTACAATGGAATCGATTCAGGATCACCATTCGAAATCATCTAGTTAGAACGTGTATGCTGATAGCAATTGTGCTGAAAACCAGTAAAGCGACCATTAGCTACAGTCTGACGAATAACCGCCATTGATCTTCGTCTGTCTTAAACCAGCTCATATGAGTTTATTTAAGTAAATTTTCTACTCGGGAGAATAACATCAACAAAGGAATGTTTTCATTTTGATTAAAAATAGCTCTCTCGGGAATAACATTGCCACATCTCTCATCAAATCAGGCATTGAGGCTACATTCCCTCATCACAGGGAGCAACGTTGGGCCGTTGGTGCATCGGCACAAGTTACCCCACCTAACCCAAATAAATCTTACCCATCCAAAATACCAAATAAAACCCTAAACCTTAAATATAGCTTGATTAGCTCAAGTGCAAGCAGTTTTAAGTTATGAACAATTTTAAGTTCTGGGCAGATCACTTTCCCCACCAGGGAGCCGATGCACCAGTCCTACCTTAGATTCCTAAGATATGAGATGGAAAGACAAAATATGATATGATAACAAGCCAAACCAATCTTAAACTAAAAAACAACGAGCCTTTTAAAGAATACTGTGATGTAGGTAAGCTCCAATTTCTAAGAGAACAAAAGATTTTAAAAGCACACTTTGCTAGATACCAAAAAGGGAGAAAGGGTACGGGCAAGAAAAGAGCGTTGAAAGGTCTACCAACAATCGTGATAAGCCCCACTCAAACGCTTAATGTGATATAAATTTCATTTTATCTGCATAAAAATAATACTCACATATTGTGTCATCTGAATTACTTAGCCTAAATCAATCAGGTTTTTGTTCAAGTGACTCAATAGTAAACCAGTTGATCTTAATAACGCGCACAGTTTTTTAAAAGCATTTGATTGTAATGTAGCAAATATGAAACACCGCAACACGCTGAGAATAAACAACAATAAATACACGTAAATCAGTAAAGGCTAATATTTCGCCCCGGCATACGGGGCTTCATCAGAGCAACCCTCCTCTCGATGTTCGCTCTGTGTATCTTGTTATTTCCAAAGTATTTGACAGGGTTTGGCATGCTGGTTTTAACAAGGGGTGGCGTCTCAGGAAATCTTCTACCTCTTATCAAAAGCTTTCTCAAGGATAGAAGGCAACAAACTGTTTTGATTGGGCAGAGTTCTTCTTGGGGAGGTATTAGGGCAGGAGTACCCCAGGGCTCTATTCTTCGACCCTTATTCTTCCTTGTGAACATAAATGATCCAACAGAAAATCTGGAGTGCAACGTGCAGTGCTAGGTGACACAATTCTATTTACAGTCATTCATGATCCTACCTCAGCCGTGAATGATACGAACCATGATTTGAAGCTAATAAGTCATTGGTCTCATAGCTGGAGAATGCCGTTTAATCCAGATTCACAAAAACAAGCGGTGGAACTTATATTTTTACGAAAAAAGATTAAAGCAGATCATCCAGGATTTTTCTTCAACAACATATCAGTAATGAAAGTAGATGAACATAAACTTCTAGGAATCAATACTTGATTCAAATCTGTCATTTTCTACCCACATCAAATCAGCTATCTCTAAACCGAGAAAAACTATTGGCTTGATGAAATATCTCTCCAATTATATACCCAGACACACCATAAACAACTTATTCGTGCTCTATGTACGGCCTCATTTTGACTACGGGGATGTTATTTACCATATCCTGGCGAATGGTGAAAGTATGTGTGTTCACTGGTGGCATCATTTTACCGAGCTTAATGGAAAAACTAGAGTCTGTCCAGTACTCTGCTGCGTGAGCAATAAGGGGAACATGGAGCGAAACATAAAGAGAAAAGCTATACACAGAACTAGGATGGGAATCACTAAGCTGCCAAGAAAGGAGCAGACGTCAAGCTGGTTTTTAAATGTGTTCAAATTAGGTGCCTGAACTGCAGTTTTTGGTAGCCTGTTTAACATATTTATGCACCTTTTTGTAAAGAATATTTGCAAACTTTCAATCTTGGGCAAGACTTCTCCAGCTTAAGATGATGCTCATATGTATCATGCAAATCTCTTTGATCGATACTGAATAATTTTGATTAATGATATATATATAATGATTCTCTGTTCTTTTAATATTGTAAATCTTTTATTGAATGTGGATAATAGAAATCTCGCTTAAATATATTAGACTTCACTTTCACAAAAATTTTAGCAAGAACCAAGACCAGCAAAAAATCTATCAAATACTATTTTCCTTGCAGCTCAACTCTTTTCTTGAGTCCCGAGATACTTCTGGGCTAAAATGAAGAATCTTCATATAGAGTAGTTTTTTGGCATGAATTTCTACAAATGGGGGTATACTTTCCTTTTGTAATTTTCATGTGACAAACAATGATAATTATGCCTGCTTTGATCTTATTCACTTGAGGTTTTTTCTGAAAATATTATAAATATTATTTGAAACTGTCTTTTGAAAAAAAACAATTTCATTTAATTCTTTTCTGCTAGAGTAAAACTTGTGTTCGACTTATCATTTTGCTGCTTGTACTTCTGAATTGTATTTTTAGCATTTTTTGAAATTCAAAAAGAGGAAAGCAAGTCGACTTCAATATTTCTGTAGCTGATTTTGTTGTTTCTATACAGTAAAACCCCGCAAACAAGAACATAGGAAAATAAGAACCTACAGACTGATTTTGTTGAAAATAACACCCAAAGATAAGAACCAAAAACAGACTGATTTCTTTCCATGTTCTTATGAGATTGTATATCATATTAAATAAATCATGAAATTCTCAAAGTCAGAAAGTATAGTTTTCAAGTCGTCATTGTGGTTTGATTAATTGATATTCAGAGCCATGTCATTTTTTTTCATTTTTTCATATTGAGATTGAAATTGGTTTGTCCCCAACAAAAAAACCTTTCCTCTATAATTTGAAATTCAGTCAGGCCATACTCAAATCTAGTTACTTTTATCTTGTGCATCATAGCTGTTAGTGTCTTTGCGATAAGAGCCACACCCTGAAAATATCATGAGTACCACATTTATAAGAACCTAGTCAGTCTGTTCTGTTCTTTAGAAAAGTAGGTTCTTGTTTGCGGGGTTTCACTGTATTAAAAATTCTAAGTAATGCCAGGCTGTGGAGGAGGAGAGCAGCCTCCATCCAGTGGTGTGCTCTTTTTAAGCATCCGCCCATTCGAGAAATCAGTGTTGCAGAGTTGCCCCCGATTAGAAAAAGAAATTCGCCATTATGTCTGAGGTATTTCTAGCATTGACTTTTAAAATATTGTCCATTCATGGTTCTAGACAATTTTTATCGTTTGTCATATTGTTGGATAGTTACTAGCCTACGTCGTTAGATAACGTCCTGCTTGTCGACAACGTTCGTGTTTCACTTGCCTTGCAGTGTTGATCATCTTGGAATCACTCACTTTCATTGAGGATTTCTTAAGAATAGCTGCGTTTTTGCCAAATAAATCACGTTAAATTACTGTGAAGGTTGATAAATTCATGCATGCTTCATTTTGTTGAAGAATCTAGTATGTATCGATAGTATGACTACAATTTGGTCGAGAACCATCGAGAAGAGCAAAGTACATTTAGGACAATAGGATTTTAATCAAGGAACGTTCAGGGTCAAAATGTTATTAAAATTTGTTTTGCAACTTAAAGTCATTCTTCTCAATTCTTTGCTCTGTTTTTTTGGATTCGTCCTCTTTAATTCTCGTTGATTATCCTATTACAATAATTTAAACATTTGATACATTATAAGGCCTAGAAGACCCTGTTGTTGACATGTACTTAATAGATAAAAAAGACCATTTGTTGAAAGCGATTGACAGAGAGTTGGAAGATGCTGATAAAAAAGAAGCGAATAATTGTTTATGTTTATGTTTACAAATTTCTGATATTATACTATACCCAGCTATCATTTTGCGAAATAATACACCCAACTGTTTTGTTTGATGAAACATGGTAACTGGAATAGAAACTTACATTTGCTTGATTTCTGGCCTTTTTCTTAGTGACATTAAGGCTCTGCTTTGTCATATAAACCTAGAAAAGCATTTTTTGCCGTCAAAATTTTTTCACAATATATATATATATAAATATAATTAGGATTATATATATAATTATATACATTACTTATATATAATAATAATCATATGCAATAATTATAATTATATGCAATAAAGTTAAAGTAGAATGTTCTTCTTTATATATTTATTAATACTAGCTATGAAAATAGCTTTATTTTTCTTGTTAGAGCCTCAACTCTCTATTAGCTGTGTGGTTTCCTGCATTAAATTGTATTACATAGCTAATAAGCTGCAGAATTGAAAATTCAAACCTCAAGAAAATTTTTAATAACAATATTTGATATATATATATATCACACCCTTGATGAGAATTTATATTTTTGCATGAAAGTGAGTTTCATGGCTTGATTAAAATCTTAGAGGATATTATATTTCTAGGCATTCCAAAAAGCTGCAGAAGAGGTGAAAAACCTTGCTGCTAGACCAACAGATGCTGAAATGCTTGAAACATATGGCCTTTATAAACAAGTCACAGTTGGAGACTGCAATACTGGTGAGCTACTCTTTCAAATTTTGACTTAATTCTGTGTGTACAAGTAAGTACAGAATTTAATATAATCAAGTAAGTATAATCTTGTTTTTGCCCCCCTGCAGCTTTACCAGATTTCAAAGTTCCATAGGTCTATAAAATGTATGTACAGGGGGACAAAGGATTTTTGTCAAATTCTATGAAACTTAAGGGCGTCATATGTCAGTGGAAAATACAGACAGAGGCCTGAAACTTTCTGGATCTACCTAACTTTTTGTTTATTATGTGCCTGATTTTTTTCAATTTTATCTAGAGTTATGACCTTGGACAATTGGTGGTCCACTTGACCTGGAATGACCCTCATATCATTTTGATTATTTAACAAATTTTGTGCTTTAAGGCTAGCACTACATGGGGAGAAAGGGGGGAGAGGCTAGCACTGTACTCCTATAGGCAAAAAAATCTAAGCACTTAACAGTCAATGCACAGAGTACTGTGAGTCTCCAGGCATGACAGAAAACTTTTCTTAGTGATAAAAACCGCTTGATACTATCTAACTATTTGAAAATTGATTTGACTGTGCAAGTATCTATATCCGTATTGGTTGGTGTAGAGGAACTCTAAATAATATCAAATGCTATTTTTCACATATTTGCAGAACGACCAGGATTCTTGGATTTTACAGGCAAAAGTAAACATGATGCATGGAGTAGCAAAAAAGGTTTATCTTCAAGCTATTTATAATTATGTCATATGTTATTTTTTCTATGAGCTATAGAAGGCCGCAATTCACAATCTAGCAAATTAAGTTTTTTATGTAGTGTTTAGAGACTTATAATTGTGTCCTTTTATTGCAATTTAGAATGTCTCAATCTATCACTAATAAAGCTTATCCCATTGTCATGGTAATCACCATGGTAACAAAGTATTTGATTTCCTCAGAACTGCTTCTCTACTTACCAGAACAAGTTATTCTACACACAGATTGCGAGTGCTATTAAATTGTTGCAAAATTACACTTTAAAGTTTTTAGGTCTCTATAATTTTTGTACACTGAAGAGGCAGAATTGATACTTTGTAAAATGCTATTAAATTATTTGTAGCCTTTTATTAAGAATTTTGACTGAATTTTTCTGCTTTGTATTTCAGGTATGAGCAAAGAGGAAGCCCAAGAAAAATACATAAAACTTGCAGAAGAACTGAAATCCAAATATGGAATGAAGTGACAATGATTTAGCTTATAAACTTTTATGATATTTGAATTTTTTGTGCATTTTTATGCCCATAGGTTTATGGTTGTTTTGTTCATGGCCATAGAATGTCTTCCAGTTCTTATCAGATTTTAAGTTTATCCTCTCAGTTTATGAACAAGAATCTCTATCATAGAAATAGTTGTCACAGTTGTTGTATATTTATGTCAAATTTCTTTTACTTCATGTTGGTTTCGAAGATTTCTTGTTTGTTGTTTTGTTGCATATTGAAAATGCAAAACGATTGTTTTGCAGCATTGTAGGTATTAAAAAACTGCAAAGCTAAAACTATTATATATGTATAAGTGCATACTGCAAATTCATTTATGCACATAAAACAAAAATGCATTTTGCTATCTTATGTATATGAGGATTTTTGTTTTGTAAAACCAGAACTTTGCCCTTCATCAAAACGTAGAATGCTGACTTTATTTAAACTCTAATACAAAGTCCTGGCAGAAATGAGCTGACATCAGAAAAACACCAGATTTTTTATCCTAGGGACCTTTCAAGACTCACAGTTTTCAAAGTTTGTTTAGGTCTCCATGTAATGCATCAAATTGTCTTGATAAATTCGAATCAACATTCCAGGGCTTGAAAAAAGATTCTTCTTTCTGGCAGCAAAATAAAAAATTGAAGATTTCCTGCAAAGCTAAGACAAAGTTTCCAGCCACTGAAAGGGATACTTTAAGTTGCTTTATTTGTTTAATGTTGTCCTAAAAACAAACTGTCACGCTAAAAAAGGAACTAATTGTTGGTCCTCGATTTTTGATCCGAGCTATTCGATCAGCAATCATTTTGTTTATACTTTATAAGAGGATCAAGAAGAACAAGATCAAGCACAATGCTCAGAGTTTATTTTCAAGGTTGAACTTAGTGGATCTGAAAATCTATAATAACTTTGATTTAACTTCATATCAGTACTAGCAAACTAGATAATATTAAAGTATTGATGTATCCTACCCCCTACCCTGGGTTTCATGTTTGTTGCTCAATTTTGTCATCAAAGCTAGTAGTTCATACAGCCAGTAAGGATACTATTTTATTTTTCAATGGTTAAAATTAATGTTTTAAATCAGGGGTGGTGCAAGAGTCAAAGATGTAAGCCCAAAACGCTTACGTTCTATTTAAGCTAGCGATGAAACATTTATGCAAATGCCAGTAGAAAGTATGAATAATAATGGACACATCCACACAGTTTTTGGGGCATGTTCACCTTTCAGTGTGTTCACATGTTCACAATTGACGTAACAAGGTTTGCTGTCTTTAAGTGTTTTTTTGCTTATCTAGAATGACTAAAATTAAAAAGGGAAATGAACTTTGTGTCAGCTTGCTTGGATTAAATCATGCCCGAATCGCTGGAAATTTTGTATAACAGACGCTGTTAATACCAGATGATTGTATTTTGAAAGCTTAAATTCATTTTTTGTTAGTAGCGCAGAACAAAATTTACATAGAATGTATGTATATCCGAGAAAACAGCGTTTGGTAGAAAGAGAGTAACATAAATATAATGTTCATATTAAAATCAAGCAACGCAGATTACATGCTAAAAATTTCCTGGCAAACAGCAACAATTTCCTGCAATTTACTTCTTGCAATTTTTTAAACGCTTGCATTTTTTGCAAAACGTTTTGTTATGGGTCATTAGCTTACCTTGCCACCCCGCCCCATTTTCCAACCTAAGCTGGAGCCCCTATGGAACTGGAACATATATTTGAATTGTGTTTTTTCTGCCAAATAATACTATTAACGTTTATAAGAAAAACAAAATGTAGCATCCTGCTCATTTTTTTGTATTTTTCTATTTTCGGACGGAAAATTTTAGACAAAGCTAGATTCAGGACCAATAAGGTTTAGGACAAATCTGATTGTGTCCATGGCTACGCAGCGTCATAATAGACCGCTGCGAATCGCTGTTTTATTCGGCATTCTTTCCAAAATGGCGGATGATATCACAACCAGAACTTTTTAAATTCAAGCCTCGCATTTGCAACTATGGCTTTAAAAAGCCGATTCATGTCCCTCCTTGGAAAACACGATGTATGTATTATCTTAATTTTGTGCTCTTAGGCGGATTTCCTTTAGAGTTACAGAATATATCCAAGCTTACTTTTGTTGGTATGTCCAAGAAGCGGGCGAGTTTGGAAAAGATGCACGATGTACATCCGAGTAAATGTCTTGAAATGTATTTAACTGCCCTTCAATTGATGAATTATAAAATCGATCCTCAAGTCCTCTAAATGTGTAGTCTCTTAAAATCACAGAATAACCTAGACGGACAACCCAAAATGCGCGGCCTCGTGAACTTAAACACGGAACAACCCAATAAAAGCGAGCAAAAACCCTGGAACAACCAAAAATGAGCTGAATAATACAAAAGCATTACAATGTATTTGCAGCTGGCCCGAAGCATAGCCAGTGCTTATTAAGGCAACTCTTATTTTTCCTGTTTACATTATAAACTCATTGTTATTGGCCTAAGCAAAAGGACATTTCAATTTCATGCCTAGATCTCAAAATTCCAAATCCTTTACCATGTGTGCTGAGACATTTTAGAAAAAGTTTCAGGTAAGGCCCCAATATTTTGGAATGGCAATGGTCTTTTGTTCTAAAATAATGGGAGAATGTGATGTCATATCAAAACAATAGGCTTGCCCCCCCCTCAATAGTTGAACAAGTGTCCGCCCTGCTGTGGAAACTTTTTTCACAAAACATCCAAATGAGTAGGCAATAGTTAAAATTTGTCAGTATATGCACTTTTTTAATAATCTATAACAATATTAAGGCCCAACATCGTTTATATTTAAAAATAATTTAAGAATAATCTTGATAAGCTTACAATTAATCTTTCAGATTATTTTTGTTGTTGGTTCATAAAGTTTAAAGTCAAGATCATGTAAAGCTTTAATAGGAAAAACCTGCACTTGTGTGTCCATTCCAATTTGTAACAAAACTTATGATTTTGCGTTAAGAGGTATTTCATCACCCTGTTTTGTGTTATATGGCCAAAGTTGAAAAATTCTAGAAATTGCTTTTCGAGACAGCATTTTGGAGCATATTCCCTTGATCGCCTTGGAGCAGGGTCCATGAGAGTAACTTGTTAAAATAGCTTTATAGCAACAAAGCAATACCAGGCATTGAGAGAATGTGTAGGAAGGAAGAACCACAGGATAGGCTGTCCGTCCGATTCTGTGAATCTTGCAATGAGTGTTGTTACGAAAGATATACAGGAACAAAGCAATAGGATGACTAGAATCCAATGTCATGAGATAGAATTTTCAAAATAAATTCAATTTAAGGAATATACTAATATTTCGCCCCAGCATACAGGGCTTCATCAGAGAAAAAATTCTTGCTTACCTGATAGTTTATTTCTTAATTGTTTACTTAATAGCCCCCCCAAGCCCCTGTTCTCCATGGTGCCTGAATACTGATAAGAAAGCGATTGAAAAGATTGTAATGCTAGAGTTGTTGATAGGGTATAAGGCAAGTAAGGCAAGTAAGGGCTACATTCTTGTGAATTGAAAACTGTAGTGGTTTGACTGTGATTCAGCAAAACGTAAAGCATAATTATGGACAGATCATGAGTGGGATGTAAAGGATCCTAAAAGACATATGGCAATTAGACTGAAGAAAGAGCCTTCATTATTGGTTTCCTTTCATACACCATATAAAAAAGAGAAAGCTTTATATGGCAAGCATAAATTATATTCAAAACTTTTTTTATTCCATTTTGGCTATATATATATACCTATTCAATGCTGTTTATTCATGCAACTTTCATTCAACTGGCAGTTTGCCACTTGGAACACAGCCTCTTTGGATGCAGTCAAAGTTCATTAACTGATACAAAAATTTCATATAAAAAATGTGATCGATTTCCTGCATTTCATGTCAGAACCATCAAATGTGTAATACAAAATTTCAAGCATAATTTTAGATACAGGAAACAATAAATTTAATATTTTAACAAAAATATATAATCATAATGAAACACATGACGCTGTGTTTCTCAAAAGCAGCTCCCCCTCAACATTGGCAACCAACAACATTTTAAAATGTCAAGTCTTGGCTTGCGAGGCAAACAATGAAGAAAAAAATTAAATTTCTTTCATTTATCTAAGTTAATAGCATTGAAAGATACATGCCAACAGTTAACACAAATTTTGAAATTATTGTTTTTTTAGAAAGATTCAAGTAAGGACATAATTGGTGATTCAGAGCACCATGAAAGGCACCAAGGAAGAAAACTTTCTGATTCAAAGATAATTGTGAGTTCTAGATACTGTTTGGTCTTTTATCTTTAGATTGACACAGGTGTTTTATGGGTCTGCTATCTCCTATTTCTTTTTATGAGTAAACTCCCAAGCCTTTTGCTTAATGATATTTCTTGATTTCTTTAAAGTTTCTTCTTTAAATCAAATTGTTTTTGTCATGTGTTAAGTTTCCAAATAGATAAAGATGTCTAGTTATATGTTAGGGAAATTCTTGAAGGTTGATGATAAGAGGTCTGTCTGCAAACTTTTGTAAAGATATTTTAATTGTGAAGCTATTAAATGATGTTTTTTTTGCCAAATTTAATTTATCTGTCAAAGTTAGTTTTCTCAGTCTTGCCCTGGCTATGCAAAATTATCTCAGTTTTCAGCTGAAATCTTCTTAAAAATCTTAGAAAACTGATGTTTATTGTATTCAGCTTATTTGAAGAGAGCATAAAGCAATGGAAGCATAGCAAAGTTGAGAACTTTTCAACCAATTGTTCTCGGAGTAGACTAGCTAGCACTGACTACAACTTTGAAGAGTATCACTGGAAAGGCACATAAGTATGCCGTGTTTTTGCTTTTCGTGCTGTCTTCAATCTGCAATACCAAAGATTTATTGTATTCTTAGTAAATTGATGTTTACAATGGGTGTTTATATTTTAGCATGAAGATAACAGGGAGGGTCCACCAGATGAAAGCTGTGACTTAGAGGTAATCTCAATTGGTCTTATTTTTTGTTTCCTTTTACGAATCTATCAATCGGTTGTACTTTTGGAAAAAGTTTCAGAAAAAACAACCAATACCTTTTGAACAATTTAGATGATGCCAAAATATATCCGAATTCTACATTATTTGATCATGGGCAACTCAAACAACCAATAAAAATTTAGCAAAAAATCTCAACAAAAGGAGAGAACAATTTCATCTAAGAGAATCTTTGACTGAATACAGAAAGAATGACAGAGAACTTCCGGACGTATTTTCCAGAAATTTGGACCAAAAACTTTCGGATGATGCCAAAATTTATTCTAATTTTACCATTAAGCATGGACAGCTGAAGCTATCTATAGGGTATAGATGCCACAAACAACTGAAAAATGAGAGAATTAATAGAAATGAGGAAAATTAAGGAAAATTGGCAAAATATTAAGAGCATCACAAAACAGATTTTTGTAAAATGTGAGACATGTAGCAAGTCAAGCATTCATAAGCATGTTGAAAACTGTGTCCTGATCCTTGCACTGCACGGAAAAAAGAAGCACATTAAAGAATATCGCAGCAAAAACCAAGCTTTGCATAACATAGTATTAGAAAACCTTAGCCTCTGAGGCAGGCAACAGAAAGGAAGCAATGGAAAACACTTTCTAGAATATTTAACTGCCAGAATTCTAAGAACGTCGTTAAAACTTTTTGCACTGATTCAAAAATCGATTTTCTGGTAAAAGTCTACACTTTTCTTTTTTTGTTCTATTTCCAGCAATTTTCAGACGAAACAATTTTAGGACAAAACCATATTTCAGGCTATTAAGTTTCATACAAAATGTTCGTTTTATCGTTCCAGATTTTATCACTCGAGAGTTTCCGATTTTAATGTACTACAACAACCGTTTTCTTAAAATTTGTATTATGAATAGCTTAACTTTGTCAACTTCTGATTTGTTCTTTCAGGTTATAAAAGGAATAGAAGAAATTTACTACAGTGAAGCGGATTTTGATATGATAGCATATGAATTAAATGTGAGTGTATTTTTAGTACTAGAGAATTTCAAAGCCTACTTTTTTGGAACTTGTATACCGGAAACTGCTCCACGTGTTTCCTTCAAAAAAGTCAAACGGCTGTAAAAGAGTATTTTTCTTAAATTGGTTTTCTTTGTAATTCCAAATTTTCCCAGTTTCAGTGTTCAAGATATTTTTGATAAAAGATCTTTTCCATTAATCGCTTGTTAACTTCAAGTTCTACTTGCTTTCCGCTCCTTTTGATCTACTGTTTTATCTCATTGCATTTTGGAGCTAAGATATGTATAGACATTTGAGACCCAATTTTTTCACCGGCGCTTCATATATAGGGTAGTCAAAACAATTTATTTCGATTTCTAACCCACCATTTTCTTGATTTCAGCAGCTAATTTAGATCATCTTGGAAAAATCCACTGTTCTCTTGGGATTCTTTTCTTCGAAAAAATGCATAGCCACCAGTATATAAAGTATTATTGACTGTAAACTCTAAACAATACCATTGATTTAATACTAGAAATAGAATTGGTGCGAGTACTGTGCCCTGAGCAACACCACAAGTTACATCGCAAAGGGAAAATTTTTCTCCATCCATTAAAACAGTTTGACTTATTAATGACAAAAGCTCTTTATCCATGAAAGCTTTTGACATCTTGTCTTACTTTTTAAGTTCATATAAAGGTTTAATCTTATGTATTACTTTTTGAGTTCATATGTGTGACCTTGTTCTTTTATTCAATGGGTTGTTTTTAAACTCGACATTTCTCAAACTTAAAGAACTACATTTTTCCTTTGGTCAAAAAGAATGTTTTGATATTTCATACACTAAGATGTGTCAGGCTAAAATGGCACTTAGTACCATGTGTTTGGTTCTGTTTTTTTTAATGTAAATTTCAAAATATATACTTAACTCGAAGCTCAGTTTTGATTCTCGTTTTCTAGAACATGCCTCCTGTCATTGAAATGAGCAAGCTTGATGAATACCGGGATTTTCTGCGTAAGCAGTCATACGCGGTAAGATTAATGTTCTCACTCATTTCTATATGATTTCAATTCCTTCCATTTTTCATTTTTAAAAACCATATTTGAGCTTTTTCGAAAAATTATCAATTCAGTTGTAGTCTAGGAGCTTGAATTCCCTTATTTCTGTTCATACTTTCTTTTAATTCCCTGTCCTCCTCAGTGATCACGTTACAACAGCAAAGCTAGGTGATAAAGTTATTAGACTGCATCAACTGGTAACCCAACATCTCTTAAAAATGTTTTGCTGTCTTTGAGAATTCCTAACTGCCACATCTATCTACGATTCGTTATTCATAAGTGTATCAGAAAGTGTGATCTTGAAGCTTGACATTTCACAATATACTCAACGTATTGCCTAGCTATTTTATCGTTGCATTTATCATTTTTTCCAGGTAACAAGAGAGCTATCAAGGAAAATTTTGAAAAATCAAGCAGCATACGTTCGAGTAAGCTACCTAAATATCTTAATTTGCACGTTTTTGTTGTGTCATGGCAGTTTGACCTCCTGTTGTCCATAACGGTATCTGAAATTATTTCTTATATCTTGTAAATGTGACTCTCGTTTTACATTACCTTCTTCTACACAAAAAAGAGCAAACATTTTAAAACACACTTTAGCTTTACGCCTCACACTTTGCAGAATAAAAACGTCAGATTATTGATGGAAAAATCTAAGCTTGTAAATATATAAATGTATCCAGTTGTGAATCGATATAGACCGATCCATGACTGTAAAGTTTTCCCAATCAGTGCTACTTGCGTATTGAAATTTTTTTTCCAATGGATTCCAAGAGTGAACACGAGTCTTTTCAGGCTACACAATTTTAATTGGCTTATACAATGATGTTAAACCTTTCTAGGCTAAAAACCTCTGTTTTAGCTAAAAGTTGATCATAGCGTTTCTATGTTCTTCGAAAAACATCCGTCGAGATTCTTTTCTTTTTCACAGTCCACATTTGTAGCAGTTTGTTAACTTGCAAATTATTCGAAGCTCGCAAGTTCAAATGCTTCAGCTATAACAGGGGAGGCGTTATCATCTTGTCGTTTTTAGTTTTTTTACTTTCTTACGAATTTTATATTTCTAAGGGCGACAGCTCTCTTTCATTTATAACATGTAAGGCTCGATTTTTGTCTGTTTTTATATTTTCACATAAACTGCATTTCAGGAATTAGAAAGAGTTATCGATCTTCAGTCGAGTCTTCTCAAAGCCACCAGTATTTGCAGCAAAGGAAGAAGGTAAAGCGATTAACAAGCCTTTTTTATTATTTCATATACTAGACTGCGTGTCTTACAATATCATATAAAAATGTAAGTTTGAATTAGAATAAGATTTTATCAGGGAAAGAAAGAGCTAATTGACATATTATTTTTGTCATTTTGAAGTAAATTCTGAAAATAGAAAGCTTGCAGTAAAATATTGTCTTGCTTTTATTCTGTCGAGGAAATAAAAAAATTGGTTCGCTCCTCTAGTTTTCTAGTTTTCATTTGGCATTCTTTTACATTGAAGGAATCTCAATTTGACAGTTGTGCTTTTTAAGTGAAAGTAATCAATGCTAGAAAGAGTTATAAATGCTTATCAGATCAAACTTTTGACGTTACAAAATTTGAAAATGGCTTTGAAAAGGATCAACATTTTACAGCATACTTAAAGCTTTTCTCCTGACACTCCGCAGAGCAACGTCAGATTTAGGTTGACGATGGCAGAATCATTTGCTTTAATAGTGTTTCTAGACCTACAAGATCGAGGAGGCTGTTCTCTTTGAGGGGCAGTTTTGTTTCTTATGTTGGAAGGAACATGTTGTTTTATCCTGTCTCCCAATATTTGGGTTGTGCATTCTACGTAGCCAGAATCACACTGGCCTGCTAAGGTAAACACGTGGATAACGGAACTCTTATGGGTGGTAGAAACGCAATACTTTTGTATGGATGGAAGTGCTCTCCTAGTTCTTGAAACAATGTGAGGATTGCCAGCAAAGGAAAGCTTCGAGTATGCTGTACAATGTTTGCTTTTTTCAATACCATTCATAAATGCCTATGCCTGTTTTTCGGCATTGATTTAGTATTCTTAACACTACGCTTCTTGACCAAAATCAACAGTGGATACCCCTCAACGTCTGCTGTAAAGAGCCTGTTCTATCTATTGTGAAGGCCAGACGAAATCATATTTGAACAGTTTATATAATTTGATCGATCAGTTGTAAATGTCTTGCAAGCCGTTGGGATAGATGTCATTATAAGACGCAGCACTCTGACTACAAAACAAGGAATTACAAGAACCTTAAATATTCCAAAACACAATCTTGAATGGATTCAATAAATATTTCAAAGGTTATCTTATGAGCTGAAAGCAACTTTAAACATAACCCTATGTTAGAGCAGTTGCAATGGAGATACCTTAGTGTATAGTGTATTCAAAAATCATGATTTTACTTTCTTATTTAGTGTTATGTTTGTAAGCTGAATGGATTTTTTGTACAAAATATTTAAAGTGAGAGCGAATTGTCGCTAATTGACAATAACATGAATATAAATATTTCTCCAAATTCGCTTGATATTGAATGAAAATACATTCATTTTTGCAATCCTAAACCTCTTCCTCCTTCAGCCATTTGTCACGTGCTAAAGAAGAAGCCACCATGAGAGTTCTTACTGTGCTTTCAAAGCATCGAAGGAAGGTGCTCCTTCTAAACTTGATGAAATCCCTCCGTTTTATCAAGACTCTACAGCAAACCGATGTTCGCTTGAAAGAGCTTTTGGAGGTTGGTAACAGCTTCTTCTTGAATCGTTCCTCGCCAGTCATCGTTATTTCTCGTGATAGACTGTCGTCCTATGGTGATTTTTGGTTTGGATTGGGATTAGGGGGTAGGGGGTAGGAGGTAGGGGGTAGGGGTAGGGATAGGGTAGGGTAGGAGGTAGGAGGTAGGGGGTAGGGGTAGGAGGTAGGAGGTAGGGGGTAGGGAGGTAGTTGGGAAGCCCCGGATGTTGTTTGATCTCCATGTAGTTGGGAAAAGAAGGGTTCGAAGTACAGTTTTCTCAAATGTTATTGTTTTCCTGAGATGATATTGGATCAGTGCTTTCTTCATTGTACCCACACTGGGCACCGCTGAATGGCTAATTTCACTCTCCCATTTCTCATTTCCACTACTTATCTCTGCCAGTTTCCTGATTCTTTGTCTCTTTTGATTAGTCAATGCTTTTCAAAATACTCTGTCAAAATACACTATAGGTTTGAATAATTCCAAGTATTTTCACATCTATTCCAATTTCTGATCTTAAAACGACATACATGAAAATATTTTTAGGCATGTTCGCAATTTCTGTGGCAAAGAAAAGTCTGGTTGCCTTCTTTTGTTATTTAACATACCATGCTTTATCCAAAATCTTCTAAATACTCCCACATTTATCGTTCGATCGTCAATTCAGTGTTTTGTCCTTTAATTTTACAGGAGAACAATTATCCAACTGCAATTCAGATTTGTTTGGAATGCCAAAAGGCAGCAGAAACATTTCGGCAATATGTTTGCATTAGGTATGGCTATTTTTCAGGAATTTCATTTATTTATCTCACTCTTTCCATTTAATCCTCCAAAAAATCACCGAATTTTTATAGTTTTGAGTATCATAAAGGCAATCGATGGATACTAATTGCTTGAGCAATCTGCCAATCAAGACCTGCCAATCAACACACTTGTGAGTGATATAAGGCTTATTGATTGGCTAATTTTGTTTGATGGATGGCGGAAGTAACTTTTCTGTCGATTTCTTTTAAGAGTCTCCGCATATGTTGATTTCTACATTTTAGGGAGCTGAGCTCAGACCTTCAGGAGACGTTAGACCAAATTGAGGTGAGCACTCGTATCAATCAAAGACTTGGGTAATACGTAATTCATAGAGACGGAAAAACGCCTTGCTCGAGACAAAATGGAACAACTCTGTTCTGTTAGTTATTTCGCATGATTGGAACTTTTGTCCGAATAGAATTATTTTGTAGACCAGGGCTTGACAACCCCCCCCCCCCCCCCCCCCCCCCCCCCCCCCCCCCCCCCCCTCCCTCACCATGCAACCGGGCAATCACAGGCAATAGTTCATGCTCAGGTTTTGCCAGCATTGTTTCATAGCATACCCTTTTACGCGAAAAACCTTTGTTTCTTTCAGGTTCACCAAAAGGAAAAACATGAAGCCAAAAACAATTTAACTATTGTACCTACCTTGTACGAGTTAAAATGGTTTTCGTACCTAAGAATTCCTGTTTGATTAAAATTTACAGTTTCCATCCCTAAAATCTTTGTCATAATTTGCAGAATCCTTGAAAATTCTTACAAATTCTTATCTTCATCAAAAAGTTTGTTGAAAACCTCTATGGATACAAGAAGATCATATGGTCGATCTCTTTAGGCTCTGATTTTGGATATTGATTTTTTAAATCCTGCTCCCCTTCACCCAAAGATAACAGCTACCTCAATTTGATCTGCATTTGTACTTTTTGACCTGCTTTCTAGAAAAATTTGAGATTCTTATTGTAAACATATTCGCCAGTTAGGAAGCTAGTATTAAAGCTAGGCCCTGTTCCAGGTCAATTCGACATTCACGAATAACGAGTAATTCTCAGTCACCAAAACAAAAAATGATTTTTAAGTAGTATCAAAACTGCGTAAACCTTTACTAGTGTATCTTATACTTTGATTCACATGAAACTGGTGACACAACTTTAGGGTTTTTACAAACTGAATCTTTCCTTTTTTATCTTCCAATTCTTGCAGGAAATCAAAACATGATATTCATCCGGTCGCATTTATTCTTCAATGACATTAGTTGCTAGCTGTAGCTAATTGGTTGAAATTAAACCAATCAGCAATGCCTTATTCAAACATAATTGTATATTTCTTCAATAATTATCTTTTCATAATGTTGGCGAAAATCATCAATATACAATTGATTTTTTAGGAACAACTAGACGTCGCCCTTTCAAAAGTTTGCAACGATTTCAATGAAAAGCAGTATGAAAAGTTGCAATCTGCCTATATGTTATTGGGGAAAACACAGGTAGGGTGTCGAAAATATTGTGAAGAAAGCTCTTTCTGCTTTCTGTAACTTGGTAGTTCTATGAAATGATTCGATATGGCTCAATGTCTTCATCCGAGGGGAAACTCAATTAAAGGCACCTATGCTCTATAGCCTCAGAATAGATTGGTATACCCTTTTCACCAATATGAAGAATTTCTTATCCTTTAAATCCTTTAAAGAATGTATAAAAACCAAATCATATTTTACTCCTTTTTCAAACTCTTTGTCTAAAATTCTCATAGAAAACTCCCTTGTTTAAAGAAAGAATAATTTACCGAAACAACCCTGGATTAATTGGAATGACAGTTAGATGAGTATATGGACCAGTTTTAGCTCAGTCGTCCTTTTAAACAGCCGAGCACCATTACTTTATCTTAATGGTTAGATTGTTAATATTCTATCCTAACTGATTCCATTTGACAATTCGCTGCCATCAATGTTCTTTGATTTGTTGATAATCTTTTTGTCAAGAAATTGTTGATTCTTCTCATTACAGACAGCCATGGACCAACTCCAAATGCATTATCTGAATACAATAAACAATGTGGCATTGCAAGTGATATCAGATCATTTAACAGTAAGTGAAATTTCGTTTAAACTTATTGATTGTAAAAATAAGACTGAGCTATTGCTACTGGATTGAGGAAAGATTGGAGGGCACAATTCTATTGTACCTCTCGGAAAGTTGGCAAGCATCTCTGGTAGCCCTTCAGCAGCTAAGCGCCCTTGAACAATCTCTTAGGCCCAATTTTGAAGTATCTCCATAATGCAAAATTAGATTTGATGATAGAAAATTCCCAGACTAAAATCTGATCACATGAACTTATTTCTGCTTTATAATTTGTTTTTCTAACACAGTCCAGCTGTCTTGCCTTCTGACATTTTCGAGATTTTGTTAACTTTATTTAATAGATTGAGATTTCGGAAAACGCAGCTTAATAATGAAATTAATAACCAGTATGACGACAAAGAAAAAAGACATCATGTATTCGTGCTACATAATAGAAAATTCCAATTAAGCCATTAAGACCATTATTAACTCAATTTTTTGCAGTTTTGTTTGATATTTCATGAATAAGAACGCTTGCATGTTCTTTTCAATTTTTTAGCTCACAAATGCGATGCCCAGTCAACATGAAGATCTCAATTTCTCTTCTCTTTGCAAAGTATGTAAAAGTTATTTTTTATTGAATTATTTTTTTCATCATTGAAGTGACACCTTGTTATGTTTTTGTTGCTGATAACCACGAAGAAGAAACGGTTTTAGAAGTGGAGGTCGATGCAAAATATATCTAGGCAGGAAAATTTGTACTTGCATGTTCAATCAGCAATAAAAATTCAGGTTTTCCTGCTGTATTTCAAAAATCTCTGAAATGAAAAGGGAAAGCAAACTTTGATAAATTTACGTAAACGGGAAAAACTTCAAACATGTATGTTTGTGCAACATGCAAAATGACGTATAAGCAAGGCAGCCGTTGCTGAATGTTCTGATGCTGCCTGAAAATGTCTACCCAAGCCATCCTTTCTTTTTTGTAATGAAATTTCGCCCTGCCTCGCCAAAAATATATCCCATCGATATTTTTTTAATAAATGTAAGCAACTTCTTCTTTTGGGCTGCTAAATGCTATTTCTTGAAATTATTTATGAATATATACCCCGAACCCGAAACATTAAATTTTCTGGCGAAGAACGAATGTGCGTATATTGTCACACAAGGACTTACTCGTTTGGACGCTTCACTCGTCGAAAATGTGGCTTTCCAACTTAACAGTTTGCTGGAAACTTGTCATAGTTTATTTACAAAGCGAATTTTCGTTTTAGCTTTGCATAACATTTTCTTTTCTGTATTTTTATAGTTGTATTGCTCTAAATTTCTAAGCCTATAAAGCCATTAACTTTCGAATTAATCTTCTAGGGTACGATCTTCCAGCTCCTTGCACCCAAAATTGCTTTCTAAACAAAATTCACTCGCAATTAGTTATTCTTTGTCCCCCCTGTCCAAATTTAAGCTTTTTTGTGGTCAGCTACTCAAAAAGAAACGATGCATTGATTGTTTTTATTTCTAGAGTATGCAACCAGAACAGTTTTATGCATGCTTGATCGATCTATGCAAGGTAGAATACTATGGTTTTTCATTTTCCCATTTTCAATGAACGTAACGTTAAAGTAATGGAAGCCAGTTTGCAAAAGAAAGGATTAGCCGCTTTCTTATGAAGATTTTTAAGAAAATTGATTATAATATCCTGAATTTTGTTATTAGGCCACGTTTGAACGGATTCGTGATTAAAAAATTGCGTTTTGGCCAAATGAAAATAAATCAACTGTTATGTTTCTACCTAGAGAAAATGTCTTTTCAAAAGTTCCCACGCTGAAAGGCTTGTTTTTGCCACAGATTTATCATTGTCGTGTAGACAGTTCGTCAAAATGTGAAAAGTTGATTGAATTTTCAGTTGAAAAGTTTTTTTGCAGCCAGTTATATCATATTTGTGAAACCTGTTCAAAGTTTTATGAAGTAAGACAAGTGATGCAGTGTTACATTAGATTTGTAGAGTAGGCTCGCCTATAATATTGATCATGATAACTGCTATTTTATAACCGGGAATCTTCTTTGAATATTATGCCACAAACCTTAATATGGACACCCTACAGAAAACTGACACAGTGCTGCACTAGACACAGAAGGGCCTAAACCCCGTCTGCCGTTGTAAATCTCCTTGCTGCTTCAATGCTTAATTCACTTCTGTCTGCTTGATTTTGTGACCTTTGAACATTTCGATTCAGCATTTCTGGGTTGTGATCGCAAGTTACAGACAGGCAATGCAATGGCATATCAACTTCGACGAATCTCTCGAGCAAAAGAAGCAGGATGTTGTTGTTGTGAGGTCGCCGGTGACTAGTGGGTCAGAAGATGACGCAGAAAAGCCCAACGGTGACAACAAAGTGAAGCACATGTTCGACCGTCAGTATGTAAAGAGCAAGTTGGACCAAGGCCTCAACAGAATTTGGCAGGTTGGCTTTTTTTACATTTTCTGAACTGCTGTGCAATTTGTAACGACATGTTGGTTCTGCCTGCCTTTTGGTCACAATACTGTGTTTTATAGTTTGAGGAGTCTTAGAAGAAAATTATTTAAATACACTTTACAAAACTTCTGCGTTGTCGATAAATATCGCCATTAGATACATTACCTTTCATCTTTGTATACCCACAGTCACTATACCTTTGTTATTTCAAAATTCGATGTTTTCGAGTTGTTACTTTCAACTGGAACCGTTTAAATTTTCATACAAGTGGAACCGTTTAAATTTTATCTGGGAGACAATTTAGGAGGCAGATAGGTATCTTTGATATGAAAAGAAAAGCCCCACTAATCTTTAGCGCCAGCACTTGATATGGGAGACTAGCCCCCCTCCATCTTTTCCTCGTGACTTTTCTCATGCCATCTTTCCCTTATATTTCGAATGCTGAAATTCCAAAAATATGACATCAATTTTCAACTGATTGTTTTTTTGAAAATCTGGCTGTTCTTTTTGAATGGGCTTTTAGTTGCTTTATTGTAGATGGATGTTGTTGCCTATTGTTTTTTTTACTACCTAAGTTTATTATTTCTCAGGACATTCAACAGAAAGTCAAGACATTGGTTTTGGCCACAGATCTCGCCTACTTCAAATACGATGATTTCATTCGTGTCCTCGATGTGCTAAGTCGGTGGGTAGAAGCATAAAGACGTATGACCCTGTGTCACTTGATTCAGATTGATCACTTTGTGCTGAATTTGGTCGAGACTACACTACTCGCCTCAATGTGCCAAGTCGGCAAAAGAAGAAGAGCTTAAAAACAGTGCTCCTTTGATAGTAAATAAACCCCTTTGATTAGGATCATCGAAATTTCTTGGATCAGACCACGAGATATAAGGCATTGAACCGACGGTAGAGAGGTGTATTTAGCTGGACTGTTTTAGAAAAGAATTTTTCGAATTTACTTTTCAAGATTGAAATAACTAAAAGAAATAAAAATTATGTTTTAAATGTAAGTTTCAATTTTTTCGTCTGAATGGTGTAAAAGGATGCGTCACAAGAAATACAAGAAAAGAGATTGATCGAAATAGGCCTTCACTGGGCTGATGTTGTATAACTTAGCTTTTTGTGTATGAGTTTGATTTTTCAATTTTTTTGATACCATGAACATTTCAATAAAATCAAGTCTATTGTGAAATACAGAAAGAGACAAACATGTTCCAACTATATACAAAACATCATGATACTATATACAAAACAATCCCAAGATCACGTATTTATGTCGTATGAAATTTCTGCTGAGTAATGAACGAAACGAAAGCGTGAAAGCAATACTTAGGCCTATTTACAACGTGGGGGGTCACGTGATTAAAGTCCTGACTAGGGTCCAGACCTCAGTTCTTGTCATCTATTTAAATTTCAATGGTTTTTATCTCCATTTTCTCCAATTTCGCGAAAATCTATTTGAGAATTGCATTTTCTCAAGATTCCATTTCTTACCTCATCAGTAATGCTTAGGATTAAATTTTTTGATGTTTATTTGAAGAATAAGATAATATCTATTATTATTTGAAGAATAAGATAATAAGATGATGATTAAAAGTGTAATTTATCTACAATTGTTATTTATTTTACATTTTAGCCTGATAAGCATTGGTGACGAGTTTTGTAACAGTAAATCGCAAAGTTTGCAAGAGTGCATTCGCATCCAAACAATCAATTACTTCAAAGCCTATCACAGGTTTGTTAGCATCAAATGTTTTTGCCTTTGGTCTATGACCTATGTGCATTAGACTTGCCTCAATTTTTATTATTTCTAGGGTTTCCTCTCAGTTTGTTTTCGAATACATTCTTTTTTATAAGAACTAGTTAATTTGTGCCAATGCTCGATGTGAGGTAATTTGTTTTTCAGGAAATATGAGACTCGCTGTTCTTCTTTTAAATTTCATTTACCTACTACAAATTGCTTGTAATAACCACTTTATATTTGTTCTGCATGAACTTTTTAGTAACACCCAAAGCTATTGTGCGCTATTCTATCTCGCTTTATAGTAGCTCTTTCTTAGTTCTGGCAAGAAATGTTGTGTCAACCCCAAAATTGATGTTATAAATTGACCCATAGTTTATCAGATTTCTCGCCCAGCTCAGAGTAAGCTATTTTCACCGCTTTTTCTGGTTGCATTGAAAGTGTTTGAGCCAAATAGCACTCTTGTCGTACTCCCTCCTCGAATTTGAATACATCAACTGCATTTAACCCAGACAGCACACCTGTGGCGTTCTCGTATAACTCACAGATAGGCTGGATTAATTGGTGCGGAATGCCACATATTGTCAAAATCTGCTATGGTATGCGTGACAGACTGGGCGTAAGGCCCGGAGTTATCTACAAATGAAATACAGAGTTGAAGATCTTCTTGTTTCTTGCCTACTTTTGCATGAAATTTCACAGTTCTGAGATTGCATGCACAGTTCGTCAACTTCTACAGAACCAAGCTGTTCGTCACTCATGTCCTGTCCTTTAAAACTAGGAAGCCGTGGAGGAATCTTTTCAAGTAGAATTTTAAATGAGTGAATGATTAAATTTATTATCCAATTTTGTGAACAGGCTTGTGTCTTTTTTTTTGTACCCGCATTAATTCAGACGTAGCTAAGTTCTCAAACCATATACCGATTTCCCACAAATTGCTAAATGCCTGTAATAAACATGACAAAGAGAATGCTTTTGTTAAAATTGCGGGGTTGCTTTTTCGTTAACAGTATGAAGCGTCGAAAAATTGCCATAACGTGAGCGGAAATTCCGGTGCCGATCGAAAATCATTTGAGGAACAGAATTTACACCGATTGCATTTTGCTTTCTGATACCACTCGCTAAATTTCTAGTTAGATCTTCTTTGATATCGATACTTGTCTTCCAAAGCTTCCTAAGCTCTTCAGTCTTTTAACTTCCCCATAGATGATATCTCTCTGTCCCTTTTATTTATTTTGTTATTCATCCTTCTCGTTGCCCTGATATTCTTGATGCCTTAATTATATCACTGTCTATACTTTTGATTTTGCTGAACAATACCCCTTTGGATATCTTCTTTCCATAATTATCTTGTAATGTTATTGCAAACCTTAAATGTCTTTTCGCCTTTTTTGCTGAGATTTCAACTAGAGCATGTCTGTTTCCTTTCTCTACTTACTGCCTCAATCAGCCCACATCAACCTATTCGCAATCTGATCAAAGAACCTGATATTAAGTCCCCAATTTGGAGCATGTTTGAATCTATCTTATCTTTGCAATGTTGACATGGCCATATCTATTTATTATCGTTGAGTAAAATACAGTTTATCTCCTTAAGTCGTAGTCCTGATAAGTCGGACTTTCACTAAGTCCTAAGTCCGATCTTTCATAAATTCCTTACCTTTCATAAAGGTCTGTATTGGGAGGATTCAACTGTATGTTCTGAAATCGTCGATTGACTATCATCATTTTATCCTTGATCTTTGAATACCGTTCTGTTTATCCTAAAGTAGAATAAAACATCTCAGTTTTCTCCTGTCTTGGAATTAAAGTAACTCATTATTTTCATATCATTCCTTTTTGCTCGAGCTGTTGTCAATGAACATTTTAATTCTCCCGGAAAGCAGGCTATACGTTTTGGAGCTGAAGAAAGTATCAGTGGTGTCACATTGACTAACATTGTATCATTCAGCATTATGAACTATTTTCAGATGTTGCCATTTTTACCTTCTCTCGGTCAAAAGTTCGAGTTATCGGACGAGAATAACAGAACAGGGACAAAAATATCGTTTCGAGACGAGAAATGCTCGAGTTACCTTAACAATCTAGGGTTCGAGTTAGCGATTGATTTATTAGAAGGTATCGGTTAATATTCGAAGGGAATGCAAAGGCAGTTGGAATTGAAGGAGGTTCGATGTTGAGTTGTCAGGACAGTGTTTTATATTGCATTTTAAAGCGATTGTTAAAGATATAATTTGTAAGCTCGTTTTTCTTTTGTTTTTAGAGCCACTCTTGATGAATTGAAGATGTTTCTAGAAAATGAAGTTTGGGCCTTATGCCCTGTGCAGACGAATTTTGGAATTTTTTCTCTACCGGTATGTTTCCATTTATGACTGAGATTTTAAAAATGAACATAGTCACATTTGAGACTTGGGAGTGATAGAAGGAATCTTATTAAGTATACGGCTTTGCTTAAGGGTAAACTCTCTCAAAATTTAATAGATTCGCTTGCTTCTTTGAATTGCAGCTTTGTTTGCCGTCTATCGCTCTGAAATAATACTTCTGGCGAGGCATCAAATTAAACTGCTAGCGAGCTAAAGCCACAAAGTCTACAATTTTACTGAATTTGTTATTTAAGGAATCTAAGATTCCTTTTTGGTACTTCAAGTTGCGGTTTTTCAAAGTTGGAAATTTTCGCCAAAATACAAACGTCTCGGCGTTAACTTTCTGTTTTATATTGTTTTCCTCACCTAGATTGTATCAATAATATTTAGCTAAAACTGATTACTAAATGCTTAATCTAATTTTCATAATATTTAAAAATATTGGTCATTAGAATTAGCTGCGGTGTTCTGATACCAGATGAAATACCTGAGTTTACAATGCATCATAAGGAACGTCTTCTGGTGGGGATGTTTTTCGCCACTTTGAAAAAAGTTTTGCCGGGATGAAATGTTTTTCTTATTTTGTTTTTTCCGAAAAGCATTCTTGAAACAGTTTTGAGCTTCGCTGTCCAAAATTTTTCTACACAGAACACAGCTTTGTATGGGAAAATTGATATGATAGTTAGAAAATTGACTTAAGTATGAATTCCAGCTTTTCCTCTTCTGATTTGCTGTTTTAATCTACAACCCGTAGTAGGGCTGTCGGCTTATAATCTGTGACAGTGTACCCCTATTTGTGCAACAAATGGCATTTTCAGTAGAGTCAATCTTTTGCTATTTTTAGGAGTTCGACTTCATGCGACCGTCACTAGCTTTGAAAAAGAGTCAGCAACACACAACCTCGGAACCAAAAAAACCCGACACAGGTTTAACAATGAAACTACTCATTCATTCATTTGTTTGCTGATCTTGTTTATCAACTTTTGTTTAATCTGGGTCCCGCATGAACCTGATGGTGCTTCTCTTAATAAGTTGGTTACAAAAGCTGTCCCTCTTTTTCAGGGTTTTTTGCAGCCTTCAAAAGCGACGGAAAGACTCCATTCGATGATCTCCTTGTTACTGAATGCACGAAACAAGAAACTGAACAGGATCGGGCCCAGGTTTATTGAGTTTCTGTATTCATTTTCCATAGTTATTCTTTTCCATAGTTGAAAATTTATGGCAGTGACAAATGACTACACGACCTTTCTCAGCATAGTCGATTTTTGGTCCTGCTTTTGGCAAAAAGGGATTTATGTTTATGTGAACGTGGCGTTTATTCATTTGTGGAGAACTGATAGTTTGAAGATGGCACGAAATAACCGAAAAACAGCATACTGGAGCACCTTGCGCCTGATGCTCTTCTCAGTATAAATATAAGATAATGACCAAAGAAAACAGAAAATTTATTTACAAGGTGTGAAATGAAAGCGAAAGCCAAAATTAAAAATCATTAGGCAAGTAAGGTTGTCTTTTCATTTTGGAGGTTTGGAATCTGTTGGCGTCAAAACAATGGATCCCGACTAATTTAGACGGAAAGAGTTCATTTTCTCTCTGTTCAACTCGGTGCGAGATACTGGCTGCGATTGGTCAAAACGCGCTATTCTTTATCTAACGTTACTTTCAATCCTTTATTGGACATAAATTTTCTGCTTTCCTTTGGTCATCGTTCAACTTTTTTACTCTGAAGAAGCTTTTGATACTCTTAATACTTAATACCAAGTATGCCATGTTGAAACTATTTCGAGCCTTCAAATTTTGCGGTATCAAAACGTATAGAATAAGAAGTCCATGGAACAATCAACAATGATATCTTATCATCTCCATATTACGTATTACTAAGTTTCACAAGATCGACGGTTGTTTGCGTTTAAATGGTAGCACGGCGTAAAACAAGACCTTTGAATGCTTATATGATCCTAATATAGGGCACTAGGGGGGGGGCCTTCCTTTTCTAAGTAATCGATGATTTGACTTGTAATCGTTTCGGGTTATTAAGGATAACCTCCTTAAGAGATGGACTACATCTTCATAAACCTCTTTATTGATTAATGAATTGGTAAATATTTATTTTCTATTTCTTGTTATAGTCAACCATACACAACTGTAATTGTTGATTTCTTTATAGTATGTTAAAGCTTTTTCGTCTAGCTTAGCGTGAATTTTTCACAAATGTTTTTGCAACATTGGCTGTTTTAGTATATGTTGTTTGAATAAATTAATCTCTTTAATATTATTATACGATATTTTCTTTTTTTTCAATGATGTTATGCGTTGAATGCCATGTTTGTTATTGGCACTTTTCGATTTATAGGATCGACAAAAAGAAATTGAAAGGATTTATGGGTACAATGATGAAGACGATCTTGATGATGATGATGACGAGCCAGGTTGAGTTCACATCTATGCTTCACGTACATTGTAAACAATATTTATCAACAATTGGCCAATACACATGAAACTGTCCTAGTACTGGCATTTTCTTTGCTCGGAAATCAAGTGTTCAGAGAAATACACTTTGAGTGAATGGCTTGAGTTAAAAGGCCAGTTCTACAAATAACTCTCAGTTCACTGCAATCCAGGCATGACCGTTCGTGTTGTGGTGATATTTGATGAAAGAGACTCCTGTATGTTCCTCAGTGGATGCATTTGATTGGTTGATCACCACATCTATTTTTGCAAACAGGAAACGTTAGGGGATCTCCTCTTTTAACTCTGGCCCTTCACTTTCAAGGAAAAAGATATCTCTTCGTCAAAAATCCTTTTTGGTTGCGAAATCCTCTTGAACTTTTCCACTTTTCCACTCCATTTTTCTTTCACCTTTTTGTCAAGTAATTTGACTTGTAATGCGTTATGAACGCGACCTTTTGGTTCACCCGATTTTGAATAAATCCAACGTTTTGAAGTTTATTTCTATCTGTTTCATTGTGAATCGTTTTGGATGCTATACTCTGCATTTATCTAAGCCTTTTACAGTTCATTCCAAAATATGTTTGCCAGTCTTCTCCTCGCATGTTATTTAACACCTGCTGTTATTATCAATTAGGAATTATCTTTTATTTCTTTGTTTCACATCACTGCCCGGTTAGGCCAACATAGATGCTAATTGAAGTCGATTTATCAACATGAGTTCTAAACAAACATTAAACGAAATATTTAATCCAACCACGGTATTTAATATTGACAAGATAAACCTTTTTGATATTTACAATATTAAACTTTTATGTAAACATTTTACAGATGAACTGAAGTTGGATTATGTCGACGAAAAAACGGGCGATGAAGCAGAAAGCAGGTATATTTTTTTGATTTTCTAGGTTATTTTTTTGAAGTTTTGCTAGAATTCCTTAAAAATCTGTTCATTCTTTGCGAACTTTTTAAACGTGAAGGCTTGAGTTGGCAGTGAAAATGTTAGCTAGTTTAGTAAGTAAGTTTGTTTTACGAAAGATGCTTACTCCAGTTGCTTTCTAACTTTCTGTAAAAAAATATTTACAATCTGAACGAAAACTATCACTCTTCTAATTAATCCTTTTTTTCCCCAAAAAGTATTCTTGTTTACTTCGAATAAACAATTTAAGAATCTGTCAATCTGAACAAAATATTTCTCTCTCAGCATAATTTTTTTAGCTACCACTTCCCTTTAAATTGGTGTTGTTGATCCCACTCAGATGTTACAAATCCCGAATTTCAGGGCTCAAAAATACAGATGGTCCTAAACCCAACAGGTTCTGCATGTTAATCTGGGAGTTCTGATCTGGCAAGGTTTACTTGTCACGCCCAAAGGTTCAGTAAATCCAAAAAACCAAATTCCATAAGGTCATCACAACTTTTACCTTAGAGATCAGCAAGAATATCTCAAATTTTTCGCTGTTGGGAAACTATTGGCACTGCATTTTAAATTTGATCCCCTAAAAGACCACCAATTTGCGAATGCGTAGGTCATTAAGTCAATAAATTTCCGCGATTTATTACTGTTCTTGAAATAATCTATAAAGAAATTCAATCATATAACATTTTAAATGGAAAGATCTCACCATCTAAGTTGTTATATTGACAAGATTGTGTATGTTCGTTTAAATAATGGAGATGGACAGAGATTGAATCTTATGTTCTTCAAAAGGCTAAAACGTGATATAATGTAAATTTTTTTCGCTGACTTTCGTCTATGTCACTTTGAATGAAATCTTTCCACAAGTTGGATAGTTTTCATATTCTTATTCAAACTTCAAACGTAAATTTTTTCTTTCTTAATCACCATATCCGATAGAAATATCAAAAACGATCACGGAGTTCTCGGTACCTTTACTTTTATTTTCAAAATAAAGTGATAGCAACTTTGGAACTTGTTTTTATAGAAAAAAAAACAGCGATATAGTATGAAAAAATGCAACGAGAGAAAAATCCATTTGACAAAAAAAGATATTTACGGAAACATAATGAAAAGTTAACAAGAAAAATATTCGTTTTATATAATATCTTTTTTTTTAATTTCCTCTTGAGATTTAAAATGACTTCTTTTTTCAAGTAACTGACATATTTTTTCCCTAGAGGCTTTTTTGTATTCTTTGAAAATTAGGCATAATAATAATAAGTATTTATGTTGGTTCACTTGTTCACAGAATAAAACTTACTGCCTTCATATAGATCCTTCGAAGTTATCTAGAGAGTGTATAGTTTAGGTTAATTTCTAGAAAACTCTTTGATTATGCCTGAGTAATTATGCCTGAACTTTTTAATTATCTCAAATTTACTACAGGAAATGATACTTCTAAGTACATTGTGTTTTAAAATTCAATCAGAATTTTCTGGTTTTTTTGTTTATTTAGCAATTAACGATTTCGACTGCTTGATTTACTTTTGCATGCTATGTTTTCATGTTGCCTCGTAACGATGCAATAATACCTTGCAATAAATTTATGCGTTTTCAAATTCCAAATACCCATCTTTCTAGTCACTGTAATAAAATCCTCGAATTTCTCAAAGAAGTTCTTTTTGTCTCTAGATATGCCAACTAATTGTTCACGTTTTGTTGTTGCAAAGCTTTGCGTTTTGTTTTAGGCCTATGCAGAGTACACGGCCGAACAAGAAGATATCAAAAAACAGTCCTATCATTTCTAATACAACTCTTAATGTTCTGCGCTCATTTGGTAAGACTTTGACAAGTTTTTCCATGCTGAATTAAGGGTTCATTGAGAATATTATTTACTTGACTGGATTTGCCAACTTAAATGCACTATGTCCTGCCATTCAACCTTCAAAGTTGACAATAGGCGCTGCGGATGATTGACAGTATTCGTGAGAATTAGTCTTGTTTTCCGATTGGACACGTAACAATAGGTCTATTGTAAAGTCCAACCAATGAAAATTTACCGAATGTGTCGGAACATAGTGCTTTTAAGCATTGCATATATACAAGATTTTGTCAATATCTTAAGGGCTTGTTTATTTTGTAACGAAAGGACATTAACAATATAGGCAATTTGTTTTCTGGTGTATTGTATTTAGCGAAAAATGAAGTCTCGCTAAGTCGAGAAACACCAACAAGTGACAAATTATCAAACGACGATAAGCTAGGGACATAAAATGTTTCTGAATTTGAATTTCGATCTTAAATTGAGTGATATATTCGTTGAATGATTATATGAAATAAACGTGCATCGAGTCTGATACTGTTATCAGATATTTGAAGTCGACATTTTTTATTTGAAGCCATCTTTTTCTAGGAAAGTACATGCAGATGATGTCAGTGCTGAAACCAATTGCATTTGATGTTGTCATTTGCATGTCACAGTTGTTTGACTATTATTTATTTGCCGTAAGTTGGCACTCTTATACACGGTTGTAGCAACTATTTTGCCTCGAGGGACCCCCTGCCCCCACACCCCCTCTACTCCCCAATTATCTGCTCTCTAAAGTGTTTTGTTTAAGATATCTCGTGCATTTTCTCAGATGATATCAGATAGCACTGAGAACGCAAAATATTATAATCTCGAAGCATCCAGTGGGTGCAATTTTATTAAGAATTAGCTTTCCAGAGATTTCCATTAGATTTCCAAACCACCGAGGGAAAGGAGAGGAGACAAAAAATTATGTGGATCAATTTTATTGAGAAAGACTAAGAAGTAAACGTGATTGAACTTAACTCGATGAAAGCACACACAAAAGAAAATCCGATAGTCCAAGAAGGGAACAGGTAACAGGAAGTGCTACCATAATGAAAACTGCAAAACATGGAAGCATTTGGAGGCTGGTAGTAGCCCGTGCAGTATCCGCTTTGGAAGAAGGAGCGCTAGAGGGTGGGAGAGATACCCTTTATGTTGGTGAATAGAAATGGGAGGTCTTTTGAGGTTAAACATTTTTTGAAAAAGGAGCTTGAGTTGGACAACATTTGCCCATAAATTGAAAGTTTTTCTTTTGTGTGACTTTCCAACTTTTTTCCTTTTTTCACCCAATAGGTGTACTCTTTCTTCGCATCCAGATGGTCTGATGCAACAGTGGTACGTCTGTTGATGATATTTGTCTGCCCTTGTAATCGGTTTTTGTAATGGCAATAAAGATAATCTTATTGAAGAAGAATTTTCTAAAGAGGAACCTACAGTTCAAATTGGCAGATTATTAGTCAGTTGTTCAAAATTTTGTCTACAATGTTTGCGATATTTCGAAGTAAAATGTGTAGCAATTTTTGAATATTCTATTTCTTTTTCCAAATATTAAAATATATTTAATCTTTTTCCACCAATATTGTCCTGATATGTTTTTATGTTGGATAAATACACAAAAAATATAATATTTTTCGCTTACTTTTGTAACGTAAAAATCTCAGCCTTAGTAATATGCTGCCCTTTTTACTATAAAGTTTCTTAAACTGCAAATATATTTGGCGTGCTCTTTGACAGGATGTCGATGCAAACTCGAATTCTGGGTTGAGCAGCAAATTGACCATGTCTCTCAAACGGATTTCAAATAACATCATATTAAAGAAGGTAATTTGGAATACATTTTGGTTTTGAAGTTTAAACAGACAAGGGTGAGTGGACATTGAGGGTTTGGTAAGGAGCTTGGTGTGAGATTTAGGGCTTCCTAGGAAGGGTAGCAGCGAGATGTATTTAATGGTAGGGAGGTTGAAGGTGCTATATGGATTATGGTGGATAGATCGAGATACGTTTTCGGTTGTGACAGGTTGGGTAAGTAGGATTTTGGACAGGAAAGTGGGACGAGATTTAGGTTGTTATAGGGAGGTTGCAGTGAAATTTGGCTTGTATAGGTAGGTTGGGTTGGTATTGTGATAGGTAGGGTGTGTTGAGGCTTAGAGTTTTAAAAAAGTTCAAGGTAGGGAGGGTGTTGTGAGATTTAGGGTTTGGTAGGAAGGATGTAGGTTAGATTTATTTAATGGTGAGGAAGGCTGTGTGATATTTAGGTAATGGTGTGGAAGTTGGAGTGAAACTTACGTTATGGTAGGGAAGGTAAGGTGAGATCTAGGGTTTGGTAGGGGAGGGTTTAGGGTTGATATGGTTAGGGTTTGATAGGGGTTGGATTTATGTTGTGGTATGGAGGGTAGGTGGAGGCTTGGGGTTTGATGAGTAGGATAGACTAACGTCTTGAATAAGGATAGACCAATTTGAAAAACTAACATCTTGAATTTAATAGGTTTATCTATTTCATGGAGTCTTTTATCTCTTGTAAATAAATAGGTCAGCTCAAAAAAGCATCCCAATTTATGTAGTTTCTATGTAGCTGTCCAATCCCATTAATGAAATCTTTTATTGTCGTTATTTTTAGTCCAGCTGATACCTTTCATATATTTTGCTATTATTTCTGTAATCAAAACTGTTTGTGTGAGCAGTGTCTTATTGAATCATACTTGATCTACTGCAGGATGGAGTGTTGAATCAAGGCGATCTGAAGGTAGGACAAAATTGAAAATTATTTTCATCACTTGACTCAATAGAGCTTGATTCAAGTGTGAAGTCAAAAAATCTATTTTTAAAATTTTTGTTTTTTGACTTTATGACCTAAAAACTATTATGAAATACCTTTAAATTTGCAAAAACAGCTAAATATGTTCATAATTGGGTGAGATTTGGCCAATGAAAGATTTGAAATTTGCTAACAGATTGCTGTTTTTTGTGTTGGTTTATTAAAGTTATGAACAGAGACAAATTTTCAGAGGTTTGATGGGAAAAGAGCCTATGCTTATGTGGCCTTTTACTCAGCCCATTTGCTCGATATTTAGTAGGTTTTACACATTTAGAGGTATTTTATGATTCTCTTTCAGGTAATTTGCTCAAAATTCTAAATTTCTAAAAAAAATTCGACTTTAACACTTTAAAACGCTTTTTTAGTCATATTATTCTATAAAATCAATAAGTAATACATGGTAGCAACATATTTAAGATCGTGTTTATTTTTCAGTCTATAAGTCTATTTATCAGTATATTTCAAACCTTTTGTTAACCTAGATCCTTGTATAATGTAAGCTTAACATCCTTGTGCTTAAACTGACCTGTAAACGAGATTTTTTTCCGATGCTGGATGTAATCTAACTGTTTATTTCCCAAAGTATGCCGCTAGGCATGTTTTATTCCTTTAAGATTGACTGTGCTTAATTTCTTTTCAATTGACAATGTTCTTAAGAACCACTCTCTTGTAGATACCACCGCCATCTTTGTCGCCAATGGTAGATCTGTCGAACCCCAAAGATCTGTATGGTCTACACCACAGGGTTGTTGCCATGGAATCGCTGTAAGTCTTTGCAGAGTTTCATTGATTCTGAAACCGAGTTTGCACTGAACTGAAATCATCTTACTCAATGTTTTGCAATTTCGGATTTACAACTCAATCCCAAACTGCGGCGAATTTTTTTTACCCGTCGCTAGCGCCCATTTGTTATTACAAGATGCAAAATATTTCTTTATAAAAGCTTTTTAGATTAATGTTTTCTGCGAAATTCTTGATCCTTGACGTCAAATAGCATTGTAGCTGACATGCAATGCTAAGTTTTCTGTTCGTAGGTTCCCATTTTAATATTACGAAAACAAATCTTTTATATTTTCGGAATTGACAGTATTCAATGTAGTTTTCTACTGTTTATTGTAGTTATTAACTTTATTCGTATTTTACCCTTTGTAGCGTTGTCCTCTAATCCTCCAAACACCTTTTTACCCAGTATTTTTATCAATTTTCAAAAACCTTTACAGTGATGTACACAATGAAAACACGGGTAACATGAAAAAGCCTGCGATCAATACCAGTTGACTGCAACTACATTTTGTCTTTCCCTAAATAATTTGCAGGCAACGAGGACTGAATAATGATGTATTTTGCATGGACTAAACAGAGTTCTTAGCTAGCTTATGTATCGCCTAATAATCTTTCTGGGACAGACGAACAAAACGCAAAGCTATGCAAAGAAAATTTACCAAATAGCATTGAAATGGTTGATGAAAGTGTAGAGAAAAGACAGATCTTCGAAAACATTGCAATCTGTTTTCTCCCAGTGTTGACAATTTCAATGCTTATAGTATTTAGTAACTCTATACAAAATAGGTTTGACTATAGCTGTATCACATTGGTTTGATAGGCCATTTCAAGGAAGATTGCTTTGAATGTCTTTAGTTTGGAAACGCGATAGGCAATTATCGACGACCTTATTCTCAATTTTTTGCTATTTTCAGGGTATTTCTCGCGAAGCAGTTGAAGGCATTACATAGTCATCTAGACTCGCTCATACCTGTAAACAAGAGAGCATTCTTGTCTCAATTTTTTTCTCAGGTATGCAACTTTAAGCAGATTTTCTTTGACTTATCGATGCTGTTTTTTATTTTGTTGATATATTGTTGTACCCATGATTTACTCTTCATGCTATCTTTTAAGATCAACCAGCCACCTTTAAGAGGAAAGCAGGCACTTTCAAGTATAAGTAAAATTGTACATAAGTCATCAGGACCCACGCCACCAGGGGACCGGATGGGTCATGCCCCCCCCCCAAATCTTTTGATAAAATAATATTTCCATAGAGACCCTGTTTTGAACTTGGCCCCTTCACCTTGAAATTCGTGGCGTGAGGCCTTGTCATGTATAATATTTTGTTTATTTTTATGTGATGGTATAATAGAAGAACGCTATCAAGTATATACAAGAGCAAGAGCATCGTGAATTTCTGTCAATCTTTCTTCTTTAATCGCACATGTTGACTGAGCCATTTAAACGTTGATATTGCTGTCCTATGCAAGGACCAATATCGTTTTTTCTGTGATGTGAAATTATTAAAGTAGTTTGTAGCTCCAAACACCTGCCTGATCACCAATTACTTCCCACCTCAAACTATAACCAGGTTTCTTTAATTCACAACTTATTGTTGGACAAAGCCCTTTGATTTATAGAGCACGACGATTCTAAGTTGCAAATCCAATTTTCAAACTTGATGCATTTATCAGATTACTGTTTTTCAAATTTAGATATTAGCATTTTGACCATAATACTTTTACCGCGAAAATTCTTTTGGCGGTGATGACGCCGTTCCAATCAACCATGATAAAAAACCGATAAGATTTCATTAAAGTGTGAAGATCCCAATTTAACTTTACATTATTACAAAATACGTTAAATTGCGATTAAACAATTAACTTTCATAGAAACAGGCCTTATGGAAACCTTATTACGAAATGTGATTCCACATGGCCTATAATTTCGATTTCAAAACTACCATGTTTTTCACTCCATCAATTGTAAGGTGTAGAAAGCGATTTTTATTACCAAGCATCTTTTATCGTTGTTTTCAGACTGTCGACGTGACTGAAGAGCTGAGAACGCCAGTGTACAAAGCTGTTGCAGATTTAGCTATCCCTTTTGATCAGGTGTGCCTCAATATCGTTCTGTCTACTCTTCACCATATTCTATCCTTTATTCTGCCTTTAAACATTCGCTTTACTAGAACATGTTTTTAAATCTTGTCGACTTTCCTAATCTAGACAATTCAGTCGATGTCTTTGGTGAGGTGGGATATTAAAGAAATTATGTCACAGCATAGCAGATATGTCGATGATCTCATAAGGGTTAGTTCCATTTTTAATTCTATGTTCCAAGTCAGGTCAATTGCAATAACTATATGAAGAGTCAATCGCTTTGCCTCAATGCTAAAAATCTTTTAACAAGAACAGAATGCCAACAAAAGACAAAAAATTTCAAGAAAACCAGTCGCCGTTTTCGTGCTGAATACTTGTCTAGACTATAACTTATGTTGAGCTGGCATAATTTTTGGCATTAGAAGCTGTTTTTGTTGCATTTTCTTCCCAATTTGATGTCGTCTGCTGTCGTTTCAAACGCTTTTTAATAAAACATATTGCAATTTGACCAAAATTTTCATTCGATTTCGCAACTATTAATTCAAACAGTTTGATTCTTGCTAAATTTGGCCACCGGGTTTCATCGTAAAGACATCACAACTTCGCCTCGGCTCTTATCTAACACTGGTTGATTGATTGCTCAAACTCCCCGTGGAAATATCTTTCGTCAAATGTTTCCCCTTTTTTGGATAATTTGGTCTCGTGGGAAGGCGGAATGCATTTTAGGCCGGCAATCATGCACCACGACACATCATATTAACTTCAAGACTACCAATATTTGATTGATTTCAGTGGTGGTCATCTTAAATCCCATTGGTTGAACTAGACAATAGACTATTGTCTATCATAAGTGAACTTTTCGTGAGACAGTAGTCTTTTGCAAGCTTGGTTTCAACTATGAGTTAACCTGAGTCAATTGAGATAATTTTGTGATCTGAAATGGTTAAAAATTACTTCAAAAAAATTAGCTCATTGTAACTCACGTTATCTCATGAGTTTGGAAATAATTTTTTTGATTTCTAACTCAAAGTAAACTTGAGATAACATCTTATCAAAAGAAGCCGTTGCGTGGGAGGGGAATGTGCAGACATCTGTACTTGAGGTTCTTAAGCAACCATTTGCACTTAGCATTACTTCAGATGTTGAAACAGTTTTCTTTACTCAAAGAAAAATTAGTTGTGAAATAAGAAAGAAATTTTCCTAATTTCGAAGTTCCTGTTCCAAGCGGTGATATTCACCAAACGTTTCTCTTTTTGGTAGATTTTTTGGTAGAAAACCTTGGCGCATATCACGAACGACATTTTTAACAAAAATCTTTTTCTTCTACGTTTTGTTAAAAGTATAAATATAATAAATTGCTCTTGTAAAGTAAGCCATAGCTGCAAGACTCTAATGAAAGTGGAAACCGAATTTGTACATGGGTTGATTTTGAGTTCGTTATCTCATGCTATTTCACACTATAACTTTAGACCATCGTGTCATTGTACACTAAGTTTTACCCCTTTTATAATCATTGTTTTTCGATTACTAAACATGAATCATTCTTGTTCTAATAGGAATTCCAACTTTTGTCTAACAGTCTTAACTCCACTTCAAGGTATGTAAGTTGGAAACCCATATACGAAAAGTTTTAATTAAAGCATTTTAGAGAAGTTTCTAACTTTGGCCGATTGTGGGGAAATCCATCTAAAGCGTATCCTATACTATAACTTGATTTGTCTACATAATTTTCTACTTCTGTATTGTGACATTGCCTACTTCTGTATTGTGTTTCTTTAAAAAATATAAACGATTAAAGTGAAAGCTGTAGTTTTCTTTGCAAAATACGTTCCGAATGGCACTGTTCTTTCCTCTCTTTAATATGGCGTGACTATTTTAGCCCGGATATTGTCACTTCACTCAGTGCATAAGAAAGTACAAAACGGTTATGTACTGTTCTGCAACTCCATTTATAAGTGCTTGGCTACCGGAAACTCAATAATAGTACGTCAGCCTTAGATTTTTTCGTAAATACCGCAACGCGCCGGGAACAAACAACAATAAACACAATCAATAAATAGCTAATATTTCGCCCCGGCATGCGGGTCTACATCAGAGAATTAGATTTCATCTACCCTTAAGTTGAAGATTACTTCTCAGTGAATATGCTTAACTCTGTTTTTCCGCATTAATTGTTAAGTATTTGAAATCCCTGTAGTCTTTGTAAAAATATATTGATTAAAATGCTGTTTGTTTCATCACTCTTTCATACAAAATGCGGCTTGAATTTATATCAACCCTTTGAGAAAGTTTCCGACATGTTTTTGTGTCTCTGTTCACCCATGGAGTGTAGTTATTTAGATGTCCTAATGAAGTGGCCACGTGGCTATAGTGCTTGCCTATAGTGCTGGTGATTTTTGATGCTTTCGGCCGAAGGCAAATGCCCCCCCCCCCCTAGCAAGTCTCACCCTTACGTGGGGATCCTAATGCGAGAACTTTTTAATGACAGTTTCAAAGCTTCGATCTTAAATCCCGCTTTTTTCGATGAACAACACAATCTAAGTAAGCTTTGCCTGATGTTTTTAATTTCCACCGTTTAATTCAGCTACATTAGTCAAGTAAAGTATTTTTCAATGTCTGAGAAGGGTATTTGATATTCATCATTGTTTGGTTTTTTAGCCTTGTCCCGATTCCAGAGGAAGTGAACGTGATAATATGGACACACGTTGTTTACATGTCAAATAGAACGTTTGTTGAAGGGTATGTTATCTGCCAGTCGATTCACTTGCTCTTTGATTGTGTTTGTCTTCTACATAAAATACACCAAATCTGGCTTTATATATTTTCTGTTTCCCCTTAGATTTGTGTGTTCTAGACACTTTTAAAGACATCTTGTTTCAGATTGCTATCCAATATGCACGATTTCAAATTTCTTTAGACTGTATGCAAAAAATTTATATTTACTATCGTTAATTCGCTACAGGTCTTTTTACCTTTCTTTCTACTATTTGCAGTCTTAAACTTGCATTCTAGCGATTATTAGGCAACACATGTATTATCGTTCTTTTAGGTATTACCTCATTGCAGTATAATATTTATATGATAATAAAATATTAATATAAATATGAAATATTGCACTTGATTTCTGGATATAAAAAATCAATTTTTCATGAAAAACAAACAGAATAAGTATTCCTTTATGTAACTTTAACCCACGATAAATTGCCTGGTTTTATATTTTCCTATTGCCTATTGATTTTATATTGACTTCTTAACCTTGCTTAACCTGCCAAATCACTCTAAAAATTTTTCATCATGAGAACAATTCCAAACAAAAGCGTTTCTGTCGTGTAAACATTCTTTAGGCTTGCTTAATACCGTACAGCATAAAGTAGTCATATTATTTAGTGATTTTGGCATTGCACATTTTGTTATGTTCATCCAACTTTGGTCTTCTTCAGATTTGCAAATGTCAAGAAATGCACAAATGAAGGACGAGCATTGATGCAACTCGATTATCAACAACTATTGATAAAACTTGAAAGAATCGCCCCAGTAAGGTGTGTGTTTCATTTGTGTTTTTTAGAATGTCAAAATCGATTCAAGCTGAAACGCATTCTGATGCAGTTAGCATTGACTGCATAAAACCTCTTCTTTTTGTAAAAAGATTCTCTTGTTTTGCAGACGTCAGTAATATCAAATATGGTTTTTTGTAAATGTTTGATGCCATATCACGTATTAACAAAATTTTTTGGTCTTCAAATTAATGGAGTCTTTGCGGAACGAGAATTTGTAGTCAACGATTCACTAAGCCACTTCTGCTTAATAAGATAAGATCTTCTTCAATTTGACGTGAAAAACTTTGACTTGCAGTCATTGAATTTACGGATCATCTTCGCTGTACATGGAATATTCCCTCTGATCTGCTTTCCTGTGTTTTGTGGCAATTTGAGCTTATAAAATGATATCTTGCTTGAAGAATATTATGCCTCATAATTTAATGTTTAGGCTGGATGCGATTACCAGTTTTAGAGAAGCGAGTTGGTTTTTAATCAATCAGAAAGTTTTCTTTCCATAGCAAAGCGATGCTTATTGCAACCAGGCAAATGAAATTTACCACCCAAAAAGAATTGCAACAAAATTCCCATTTACCGAAAATGTGTTTTCCGGTTTAGATATTATTTCAAGATTGCAGACATTGACTTAATGGAAACAAACTTTTTAAAATTCAAAACTATGACTGGTATCCTTATTAAGGGAACTGGTTTTGGGCTGTATGCCTCATAGTATTCCGGCTGGAGCCAAGTCTACTCATTCATTAACTGTTTCCTGGAAATGAAGCAGAAGGGTGCCGTTGACACCCATTTAACGTGCCTATGGATGTGTTTTTTCGATCTGGTATTTTGATTGGCATTTTAACGTTGACTTATAATATAGTCACAACGCCGGTTGTTCTCTTGTGCAACATTCATGCAATGCTTTTTTTACGGCAAAATTTTTGTTGCAAAACTTTGGAAATGTTTCTTAAAACGTATTCGGTATATAAGGTATAAACATAAGGTATTCCAGTTTGCCTCCAAGGAAATAAAGGTATTTTTGCTTGCCCGAAGGCAGTGCTTTGGATTATTGCCAGGATCTGTAGATTTCTATTTAACAAAGGCAATATTTCAATTTGAAATGGCAAGAAAGCTGAAATGGCAAAAAGTCCAAAAATAAGAAAAGCAATATTCGAAATAACAAATCGAGGTGGAAGATGATGTTAACTACACCGCTTTCTCAGGAATACAATTAGCCATTGCCAAACTGCGAATGCCTTTGCCAGTACGTACACCATAGCTCAAGATAGCTGCGAGAAAAATGTATTGTTTTAAAAATCTAAGGATGTATGAGATGAATCCATAATTTACTTGCTTTGCAAGGCTTATCATGCTTAAATTTCTGCTTTTTCAAGATCTGTTTTGTCAAGAAACCTCCTAGAATTAACTCTTTTTGCATTTTTTTGCTCGAGCTTATTGACAATTGAACTACCCTCAAACTAAGAATGTTTTCATTGCTTGTCTGGTTTCCTTAAGCCTTTGACGAAATACTCACTTTCTCAGAAGACCTTAGCATTCTAAGATGACCAAGAATAACCTAGAATTCAGAATTTGATTATAAAGATTCAGTTTTCCGCACATATCCATGATTGAATTACAATTTTAATGTAGTACCCATTTGGCGGTTTTTGGCGGTTACAAGTTTTCAAGTAAAATTTGTACGAAAATTCGCAGATGGCATAAAAACGAGTAGTTTATTAGCTTTTTGGGTTTCTTGAAAGTTGTCCATGGTGGACGGTAAAACCCTGCTTATAAAAATAGACTGGTTGGTTGACCCGAACGGTTCATCAATATTCTTTGAGGCTATTCGATAAAAGACACAATTACAAACCGAGATGCAAAAAAGTTAACGACAAATCACATAATTGTCAATTGGCAGATGGATATTTCCAAAAGGATTTAAACTGATTCCCAAAGTAGAAGGTCATTGCCTTATCTTGTCAGAAAAACGCGCCTTTGTTTCCTGTCACCTGCCAAATGTTTGCAAAGTTTTATAGAAAATGTTGGCAAATTAATTCCGAAGTGCTCAAAACAGAGAAGGTCGTCCTCTGGTTGTGGTGAAATCTTTTATTTTCTGTTGTTTCTGCACCAGGGTAATGGGATATTTGTGGATGAAGGAAAATTTGAGACATTTGATATAATAAAATTTGGTAAATGCCAAGTATTGGCAAATGGGGTGTTTTTTTTTAATTTTCAATCTAAGTTCTGGGTTCTTGCAGGCATGATTCAGTTGTTATTCTCTCGACTCTGGAAGGTTGCGTTCAAATTCGACCGAGCTGAAAAAGTTTGCATATCATTTGATACAACAAATTTTGTTATATGAAGAAATGCTTTTGATATTGAAATTTTCAATTGTAATGATTTATATCTGCCTTGTGACTCCTGGTACTAGCCCATTTGCTGTTAGGCGATTTAGTACTTTTTGGAGTCTATTGTTTGCAGATTTCATGACACGTATTTCGTTAAGTGAATTGCCATGTGCTGTTAGGTGGAAAGTTTGAAATGGAGGTCATATAATCTGAAAAACATGCTTAAAATGCAAGAGAGCAACACGTGTGATATTTCTTTGCTCTTTCAAATCTTCAGAAATATCTCAAGTAAAATGTCCGGACTTGAACAAATTGTATGGTTCTTGATTGTGACGTCATTAAAGTTTATTTATAAAATTTTTGACTTTGAACCTCATTATTTCAAAAGCTAAAAAGAACATTATGAATGCCTCGAAATATGCACAATCAGCCAGGCATATTTAAAATTGGGTTATTTATGACCAATGAAAGATTTAAAACTGTTAACTGTTAATTGGGCTCGGTCCATAAAGTTAAGACCAAATTACACATGATTGATGGAAAAAGGGCCTGCTCTCATGTTGTTAAATCTCAGCCAAATTCAAACCAGTTGAATTGATTTTGCACATTTAGAGAAATTTCATACTGCTATTTCAGGTTAAGTACCGTATTTCCTGTAATGAGCGCCGCCCTCTATTGAACGCCGCCCTCTATTGGACGCCGCCCTCTATTGAACGCCGCCCTCTATTGAACGCCGCACCATGAAAAGTTGATACGCCAACTATTCGAAAACCAGGAAAGTTATTATGTCATAGAGACAAGGACTCTGATAGAGACAGGGATATTAACATATTTTTTGGGAAATTTAAAAAGTTTTTCACACAATCTTTAGTACGTATTTTGGGAAAAAAACATTAGTTTGAATTCTGCTTTTATCTGCTTTTACCGGGGTAACAGGTATGTAGAAATTAAACACTTTTATGAGATCACCTGTAGCTAATTAACTGCTTTTTTTTCTAGGCCAATCCCTGGTCGCGAACTCGTTGAGAGCTTCGTTAAGGCATTTTATTTGAACGAGCAAGACCTGGAAAGATGGTTAAAAGAACATCCTGTGAGTATTCTTAAATAATATAGGCATTTTCTAATCTCAAAAGACACATTGTTACTCAGTTAGGTGTTTGAGTAAAGCAATGAAAACGTTCCTGATAATTTGGTGGTAGTTTTTCTTTCGCCAAATATTCTCATCCTACACGGTTTTATAGTTTACGATGAGGGTTTTAAAAGAAGTAAAGTGTGTCGGATGGAAATTATACTTCAGGAACATGCGTTTTTAGTTCGATCTTTGTTGCTTTTTTGTTGGTTTCACGGCAGTTCATTTTTTCGCTTTCTAGAATTAGCAGCCATCACTAGTTTTGGTTTTGCTATTTTTTGGAAAAAATATTTTAATTTTTTTTTCTTTCTTATGCATGGTTGTGTTTGTAATTGTTCTTTCTTTAATTGTCTTTTTATGTTCTTGATTCGCTGTAGTAGTACTATAATTCTTTTGTCTTGTTCATAGTTATTTCTGTTGTCATCTTCAATCCTAAGCAGTTGTTTTATTTTGGTACAGGTATCAACAATTTGTAGCAATAAATAAGACAAATTGTTTCTCATATATATATTGTATGATAATAGCACGTTCTTGAGGACTAAATTTATTTTAAAGAATATCATTTCAATCTTGAATGAACCTGAAATCTTTTCGGTTCTTGTTTTCGCTGTACAGGATGTAATTGTAGTCTATACGGAGGAAGAAAAATTCTTCGGAGTAGATTAGCTTTGAATTTGTTTGAGCGAAGTATGATTAATAATAAGGTTTTGAGCAAGTGTTTCTGTGAAATGACATCAGCAATGCGTGCATATGTCAGGTCGGAATCCTTTATTATACTTAACTCGGCATCTTGGTTATTTCCATTTCAGGAATACTCCCTTCGCCAGCTGCGAAATCTAGTCACCTGTGGTACTGGTTCGCATATTACTAAAAAGACCAAAAACAGGCTGTTGGATATTCTTGAAGATTCTGAAAGATCCAAGAGCAAGTGAAACATTTAAATGCCTGTCTAGTGTTGTATTTCTCATAATTTTTTCTGAATCTTAAGATATCGTCTATATAAAGCAAGACCAAGATTTTGGTTTAATTAATCTTAAGGATAATCAAATATTGATATTAAATTGACTTGGTTATGGAGTTAATTGTTGAAAATTTGCTTGCAACCTACCTTGCCGAGAAGCTATTTTTTAATTTTTTGGCAACTTGATAATTCCCAGATGTTTAAGAAAATCAGTTTGAAATATGAAACACGTCAAGCAGGCTTCGATAAGTAAATCTCCAATCAGCTTGTTTGTTTCCTTGGAAATGTAAAAGGGTGATTTGCTTGGAAATGTAATTTGATTTCAAGTAATGTGCTACGAACGAACGTGTTTAAAAAGTTTTGACCAGCTTTATTTAAAGGATTGCCATATAGCTGCAAGTTCCCATTCTGTAAAATTGTAATATCAAGGATGCATATAACCGTACCGAATATATTTCAATGCATAACGTGTTTTATTGATGTTTGTACCACATCAAGAAGCATGCATGAAGCGAGGTTTATTTAAGGTTTAGCTATCAAGATTTAGCTCGACTGTCTTCGCATGTTGTTTTCAATTTCTGGAAACAACCAAAGCTTGATGGGAGCAACATCCTCTGCATACCGTAAGCAGCGCTCCCCGCTTTTGTAGTCATCGTTGCTTTGGGCGTTTGTGCCAAGTACATATGCTTTCGGTCAGTTATTTTTATTACTTTATAGTTACTGATAAGATGTTTTTTGGTACTTTTTCAAACATTAAGTGTTGGCTAATGCTTGTTTTATATACATAATGTTCCTTAATGTTAAGTTATGCCGAATTTAATTCTTAATTTTCAGAATTGTTTTATTTAAAATTTCAGAAAATTAAATGATATAGAAATTTCTGCGGTCAAATTCCATGTGGAAATTAGTCTTTGATTATCAAAATTTTAGTTGCAATGTCAATGAATTTCGATATTTTCTATGTATACTATCTTTGCAGGTTGTTTTTTCAGTTGGGAACAATTTGTGCCCGCAAGGCTCCTTGTTGGGCCCTTGCCAAGCTTTGTTGATCTCATGATATATACTGGTTAAATAAATTAAGCGATGAAAGTCATTAACGCCGTAGGTTTGCTGGCCACAAGCTTCTTTGATTGGGCAAGCTGTTTATTAGTTAGTTGCCGACAGTCTCTATCTGAACGGCAGGTGATTATGCAGTCCTTCCGCCATTGGTCTTAAAAATTGGTTTCTTTTCACTGAATCTCAGTTCTCTCTAAATGCAGTTGTTGCTTTTGAGCTTAGACCTAAGTCCAGCACTCTTAAACTTCATTTTACATTACATGCTTCTTTTTGTACAGCATTTCAAGGTTGTTTTTCACCTAATTCCTTTTCAATAAATCTTCTTTCGAATGATTTCATGTTGTTTACGTTTCTTCGTAAACTTAATGCATGATTTATTTGCAAATGGTTGTATTTTGTCTTAATTTTTGTTATTTTTCATATCCACTTGATACAGAATCGTCATTTTCTACTGGTAGTAAAATAAGGCGAGGGATAATTCACTCTTGCAAAAAGCGTACGGGATTTTCCCTAAAACAAAAGGATTTCCAAAAAGTGTACGAGATTTTCTTAGAGTGATTTGCCCCTCAAAATAAGGCAAGTAATTGTTTTCTTCCTGTTTGATAGCATCGAAACTAATTTTATCATTTTAATGCTTGAATCTTTTAGAAATCAAATCTGTTTTTCAATGCTAAATTAATTAAGCTGCAGAGTTTTATTAATCTGAGTTATCATTGCGATGAGACTGATCAGGTATCGAAATTCAATAATGTTTGAATGTCTTTTCTGCTTTGATTGGATGTTCTTATTTCAATTCTTAAAAGTGAGACTATTTTCTCAACTACAAAATTAGGGCTTTCACATTTTTTGATATATGTAAACAGGGATCTTATCAAACCAGAGAGGTAAAGGGTGCAGCTCGCCCTAAAGGCGGCAAAGAACCCAATATAAAGATGAAGCTCCCTACACAGTTTTCCATGTCTAGGTCCTAAGCTTTATTCTTCAACAGGATTAGAAACTGGAATGTTAACGCACGTTCAATTCTATTGATGATTGGCCTCAACAGAATCGCGCAGCTCGACAAGACTACTTTATGGGCTCTATTTTACTTACTGATATATATGAAGGCTTAAGATTCAGATTTATTTATGACAATTCGAGATATAGATACCTTGTTACTTATATTGATGCAGTTGCAGGTTGGAAAATTTTCTTACGCGTATCGTTTGTGCTGCTGCAACAAAATACACTCTGACTTAAAGAACTGAAAGAAAGCGTCTGAGTATAAGGAGCTGATGATCGCAGAGCGATTTCGTCTTTTTAGAATGGCCGCCAGTTCCTCTTTATTACTAGCTCCTCTTTATTCTCATCAATTTTCAACATTTTTCAAATACCTTTTGATGGCTCGGACAGAAAAGACAATTCATGGGCAATTGAAGCTTTCCATTGAATAGAAAAAGAGCAATTTTTCACTTTCCAAACGCTCACATACATCTCTAGTAACGTCTAATGGATTTACTGAATGGCGAAAAGAAAAATCTTAATTTTTCTACCTACGGAGAGAAAATCGTTGCCATCAAGGTCAAGATGTACAGTGCCCTAAAACTCGGCAATTACAACTGTAACAATTATAATAGTGATTGATAACGTGCTCGTGTTTTCAAAAATAGTTTCATTTTACCTCTTTTAAAACCCTTAATTCAAACACCTAACTGGCTAACAAAAAACCACACCTCGTCGCACGTGCTATGTCGTAAGCCTGGGGAGAGCGCAGAATAAAGCTTCGCAGAGGCCGTATCTGCGAAGTTACTTTACAATAACACTCTTTGTGCCTGAGTTTTTTGCGTATTTGAAGTGTTAAATGTTTGGAGCGTTAGAAATACCTGTTCTTATTCTGAGTACGCTGTCGTACACTGACTTAATGCAAAGGGTCTTCAAAAAACCCACAGAAAGGTGGAAATGTAAGAGAACGGAATCAAAAATGAATTTGTAAGAGGCATTCACTTAAGAAAAGAAACATGAGACAGTTGATAAGTAGAATTTTTATTTAGTTTCTAAATACCAATAATATAAAAAGTGTTTCTAAATTAATAACAAGCACGCATGCAATTCCACAATGTAAACGCATTCATACGAGGAAACCAATGAGGTTGACCCGGAGTGCAGCAGGAGAAAATCTAGCATCTGTTGTTGCCGTTACGTAAACAAAGACTACTTGAATTTTTCAGCTTTGAAGACAGTTTCTACACAGACATGGGGGGTTCCGAATTTATTCGTGGATCTGGAACAGGGGTAAATCCGGAACATAAGTGGTGTCGCCGGCCCGGAGAAACTAGGGTGATGTCGCAAACACGTAGGAAACGCCATTTTTGTATTTTTTATCTATTTCGATATTTTAGCAACTTTTTCAATCAGCACTTTTTGTAACGGAAGCTTTCGGGAAGAACGAAAATCGTTTTTCAATTGATTTCTAGAAGTTAAAAAATTTACCTCTCGGAAAATTGGGTTGGACATTTTCACCCTAGTCCACTCTGTGGCGACGCCATTGCGGAAGATGGGCGGATCCTGGTGGTTCCTGATCCAAACGGCACGGCAAAGGAATAAAACGCTATTCCTGGCATGCCTCTGTAAGTGGAAACACCTTTTTGAACGTATATTGCATAAATTGGCTGATATATTCCATTATTTACAACTAAAACTGTAATACCTATCCTTAGAAGTGACCCATTAAATAAATTGTTTATTCCGAATGCAGACTAATTTGAACTAAAGTCTGAATTGGCCATACTTCAATACTCCCTCAAATACTCTTCCCAATAATATACCCCAGATCTATTATAAGAGCAATGAATTACATAGATAAAATTTCAGCATTTAGTCACTGATCTACCTTCGATCTAATTTCAAGGTGAGTCATCTCATTTCGAGGTCAGTAATCTCAGCTCGAGGGTTTGTTGTCACAATTCGAGGTCAGTCATCTCATTTCGAGGCCAGTATAATGTTTGTCGATTGTTGAGGGCTCTATCCCAAAAAATCATTTAGCTTGCTATGAACAACGATAAAGTAACAACAGACAAAAGAGAATGATGCGAACATACACACAAACACACACACAAACTAACCTGACCGAAGTAAATAGGTAAAGAAAATAACTAAAAATAAACGTTTAAAAAGACTGAAGGATTGAACTACCAAATTTGGACGCAACCATTTTTTTACCCAGTTTAATGCGAGTAGATGGATCTTACTGTTCTCTTGTCGAAAATCATTGCAGATTATTTTCGGGAGGAATCTTCGCATCTTTGTCGTTTATTAAACAATGGACTAAATTATAGCGAATTCATCACCAGTAAATTGCAAACTGGCTTACTTTTATTTTCAGTTGTGAAAGATAAAACCCATGTCGGCAAAATTTAAGCGGCAAAAAATAACAAAGCGATTGCCAAGTGGATACAAGACATTATATTTTACAATAAATATATGAGTCTATGATCATTTTTCGTGGATGAAAACCGTGTGTTTAAAATAATTGTCTCAAGGTAGGGGCTTATATTCATTACTGGGGGCAGAACTATATTGAGGGGGTCTATTCCGCTGACTTGAAGGGGGGAAATATTCTAAAATTCACGGTATAAAGAAAAGCGAGTCACCTTCGCGTATATGTAATTAACATTATAAACAATGAAAATTTTTGTAATATTTTTTATCATTATTTTTGTATAACGCTTTAAATTCCTTTGATCGTTTACAATATTGACTTTTTACCACATGCGACATATAAAACCTAAGCGTAATTAGAACTTTATCAAACAACTAACAATTATTGCACTAAGAGTTTGATATTCTTCGAGTTTGTCGTTTGTTAATTGTATACTTCTTAACGTCCCCTATTTATTATATTTGAAAATGCCGACACCTACAAAGGTGTCGTTGTTATAGTCCTCTTTTGAGTTCTTGGAAATAGCATATCAATGTTATTTTTCAGGAAGAATGTCTGGCTTCCAATGTGCTGTGCTGGAAAACATTCGTTTATATACGATTTGCGTTAATTTAAATGCAACGTCACCAACTTGTTTTCGAAAGTTCAATAATTGGCAAGGTTGAAGTACACCATGCTTCAGAATGTTGTTGCTACGACGTGCGCTAAATAATTGCATCCAGAAATCCAGGACACTTAGGACACTTAGCTAGACTCGTCGATCAAATAATCAGTTATGATGAAAAAGTTTTTTACAAAAAGGGACTTTCAAATAAACAAAGACCTCGTTTTTAGATCAAGAATGTTTGGGGATGTTTGCTAAAACCTTTGTGTGCCCTGATCTCCTTCTGGCTCCTTTCCCCGTGTTGATTATAAGATTAAGCAGTGAATGGAATTCTAGCTGTTAGGAAGTTCACGAACGCTAACTTTCTGCGAGGGCAGATTTGATGCCTGCTGCTTGGAATTCTCAGGCAATCGGAACTTGAGAGTTGTCCTTTTCCAAACAATGATCGTTGGGTATATCAGTACCGAGCATTTTCCAAACACTGCAGGCAGAGTCGCAGCTATAGGGCTCACAGTCTTCTGAGTAATGATCGTAATTGTTGCAACTATTGCATAGGGTGCCCAGGCAAATAAAAACGATGCGGTCATGAAACTACCAATGGCAGCCAACCGCCGCAGCCTCAATCGGTTGCTTTGCTGGGCAGCCATGCCAACTGATGCAGAGACAGTTTTCACGTGTGTTTTGAATCCACGGAATATCTTTGTGTAACAGTACCCTATGACGGTAACAGGGATCACAAAGTTGAAAAGTAAGATGCATGTTGTGTATGAGAGACTCACAGGATCCGTTTTCTCCCAGGCGACCGAGCAACTTACATTCAATCCCTCGAACTGATACTCAGCCCAACCTGCAAAAGGAACTGTGCTCCAGAAAACGCCATGCCCCCAAACAAGAGCTAGTGCCCCATACTGTTTCCACCGACACATGTGTCTTTTGGCGGCATTAATGCAGTATCCACTGCATAGGGCACGCTTCTGCTCAACTGCGTAGAGGACCAAATGCCATATCGCAGCGTTGGCATTTGTATGCACCCAAAATCCCATGAAGTAACAGAGCGGCATTCCAAATATCCACTTAGCCTTCAAGCAGGCAACAGCAGTGATGGTGTAAATAGGGAACATCTGAATAAGGTTGCTGATGCACATGCTGATGGGAATTTTGTCGATGAGCCTTGGCGCACCTGGGGCCTGTTTCTTTAGGACCACCAAGGCCATAATATTAACTGGCAGTCCAAAAAAGTTGACCAAGATGAAAACGACGCCAACGAATATGGAAATATTCTCTTCAAGTTGATTCATCTTGATTTCCTGCGAATCAAAAATGCAAATTAGCATTCTCAGAAATTCTATTTTTCATCACAAATTAACAGCAGAGACCTTAATTGAGACATGTTGAGATGGGTAAGAATCCCGATGGTGGCACAGTTTAGAAAACATCTGCTTCCTTTTGGCATACATAAATGACAACTTTGAAGTCTTCGATTTAAGATTACACATGAAACATTGTTCTTAATTGCTGTCCTGATACACAATCTCTAAAAAATAAGAAGAAGCTAAGTGAAAAATAAGAAAAAGAACGACAAAAGTCACAATGAGGCAGCATATCTCATCTTAGACGGGGAAGAAATGGGACAAAAAAAGAAAAAGGGGAGAAAAAATAAGGACGAAGAAGAAGTAGATAGAAAGGAAAAAGGAAAGGAAGAAGGAGAAGATGAAGATAAAGAAAAATAAGACGGGAAAGCAGAAGATATAGACAAAGCAAGCTATAAAGAAAAAGGAGATTAAGAAGGAGAAAAAAGAAGAAGGTGATGATGGAAAGGAAGAAAAAGAAGATGGAGAGGCAGAAGATGTAGACGAAGCAAAATATTAAGAAGAAGTAGAAAAAAAGGAGACAAATAACGAGGAGGTAAAGAAGGAGGAAAGGAAATAGATGTAGGCGAAGCGAAATGTAAAGAAGAGAGATATGAAGAAGACGAACAAAGGGAAGGAATAAGAAAAGAAGAAAATGGAGAAGGAGAAGAAGAGGATGACGAAAGTAGACAAGAAATTTCGCATAACCATCTAGTAACCTAACCGAAAATTTTAAAATTTAATTCAAAAAAGTAAAGGTCATTGATCATTTTAATCCTTGGGAACATTGTCGCAAATGACCGGAAGTCACGTTGCTGGAAGCCTGAAAAATGCACGACCATCAAAATTTTGACCTTCGAATTTTTCAAATCTGATTAGTAGAAAACTGGGTAAAAAACTCTCACAGATTAATGTGATCTGATATATAACTAAAAATTTATGGCCGTTTAAACAAAAGCATATTCATAGCCAACTAATACATCCTAGTAGCAGTAGTACAGAGAATGTTGGAAGAGACTGTACTACTGCTATATAGATGATAGCAAAGCGTTTGACTGGCACTCCCGAACATTTATTGAACAGATCATGGCAACAGCAAGTGGTTTGGCATAGGTAAGGGAGTGATACAAGGATGCATTCTATCGCCTTATCTCTTTAACCTGTATGTAGAAGCTATCTGGAAGAAGAGACTGCAGGTGTCAAAATAGCTGGTATGAATATAAACAACCTGAGATATGCATATGACACCACACTCATGGCTGAAAGCGCAAAAGACTTGGAAAGACTTCTTACGAAAATGAAGACCCACAGTGCTCAAGCTGGTCTTTATCTGAACATCAAAAAGACCAAAGTTATGACAACATATGATGCAATGGAATTTAGGACAGATGGTGAGAAAATAGAAGTGGATTTTCTCGGAAGACAAATCTCTGAGGAGGGGAGTTCATCAGAAGAGGTTAGCCGCAGGCTCAATATGGTAAGAACAGCATGAACAAACCTGAAAAAACTCAAGCGAAGCAATGACCTATCAAGAGAAACCAAGACCTGAATGGTTGAAACGCTGCTCTTTCCAATAGCAATGTATGTTTGCGAAAGTTGGATAGTCAAAAAAGAAGATAGGAAAAGAATTAATGCCTTTGACTTTTAGTGCTGGAGGAGAGTGCTGAAGATTCAATGGACAAAATCAGAAACCAACAAGACAGTGATTGCTAGAGTGGCACAAAAATTGACTTTAGAAGGGCGTATAATAAAGCTTAGATTGACTTACTTTGGTCATATAATGAGAAAAAAGCAGTTTGGAAATGGATCTGATGTTTGCAATATGTGAAGGGGTTTGAAGGTAGACCGCGGAAAAATTGATTGGTGGTGTGGTTGGAATGACAGGCAAATCACTGGTGATGCTGAAAGAAGATGTGAGGGATCGCAATTAATGGAGACAGACTACGCATAATATTGCCAAGAGTCGACGACGCCTCGATTGAACTTGAGAGAGAAAAAAAGGTAGTAAGTATACTATATCAACAAACGGAAACTATATCAACTGCATTTCTCTCCCCAGCTATCAGCTCCCATTTTCGATAATTCCTTGATGCATTCATGACTTGTATAAGAACTTTTTAAAATTTCTTTGCATGTACAGGGCCTTTTAAAATACTAGGGGGTGGCAATTACCCCTTTGGTCCGAAATACCTTCCGTTGTTTAGAACAATAGGCTTCTGTCCTGTCTTAATTTTTTATGTGAACAAAGCTTTTCTCGATTTCCTTCGAAAAATCTACGTGAAAAAATATCCTTAACGTAAATGTGTAGTTCATTTTGCTCGTGTTAATCGTGTTGAAATTTTTCCAAATTAATCGCCCTAAATCAAATTTTCTTGAAGAACTGTATTTTAACGCTTTTGTGCTTATAGCAAAAACGTCACCTCAGGTTACATAATGTGATATTTATCGTTACTCAGTGAGACTTGAAGCTCGTTGCTTGTCACAGCCTGAAACGTTGGGCAAAATATAGAACGCTAATTAATCCTGCAGCTGCCTGACAAAAATCTATTGTAAGATAAGAAACCCTAGTTTAAAGAATATTTTTCCCATGCCGCTTTGTTTTGCACGCTTTCTAGATTCATCCCACCTATTTGTGTACTGCTTGACATCATACACTGATTTATAATCTACCGATTCCGTGGCCTCAAAGACGATTCCTGTTATCATTATGCAGTTATTCAACAAGTTGGTTCTTTGAGTAAAGCTAAAGGTCACGACATTATTGAATCAAAACTCTCTCTTTTTAAATATCCACAAAAATCACAACGTATGACTTCGTTAGTTTCTCAAATCGGATTAGTTAAAGTTTTTTGCTATGAGCACAAAGCGTTGAAATGCAGTTCTTGAACCAACCTTATTTAGAGCGAATAATTTTAAAGATTTATAGTGAACTTAGTTAGGTATAATGAATTTTATAGTTAGGTAAAATATACAGATATATAGTTCTGATTATATAATATATATATTTATATGTATGAATAAAGGTATAATGAATTGCGGAATATTTTTCGGATCCTGGCGTAGATTTTTCGAAAAAGCATTTCTTTAAAACCTCGCATACACTAATTTTTTTTAATAAAAGAAACTGGCTATAAGAAACGTGTACTGGACAGTCAGAAAAAATTTGGAAACTCCAGCACTCGAAGCAAAAAAATTAGGAAACATTTAAATCATAATAAAACTGAGAACAACGAAATTTTTGTAAAATCCAAGAACATGATTGCCCTGTTGGCTTAGAATTTAAGATACAAGGGATAAAAATATACTTCCACTTCTAAATACAGCATCAGAACGGAAGCGGATCTCTTGACGTGGAAAAAAAGGTAACGAACATTTCATAAGATCGTTAATGACATCACAATTAAGAAACTCTTATAAAAAAATGAGTATTGAAATTTTCAGAACATTAAGAAACTGGAGTACTCAACATCGACCTTTGTTTCTTAAAAAAATGAGTGTGTGCAAGAAAATGGTAAACCAGGAAAATGTAGTTACCTGATTTTTAACGAATTAAACTTTGCATGCTAAAATCTATCAGTTCTGACTTTTAGAATCAATAATTGATATTCTAGATAATACAGTTCTAATGATAAAAAAGAATTAAAACGAAGTAAATTTATATTACCTCGAAATTCTACAACAAAGTGACTGTTACAGGTGCGAAAAAATGATCCTCGTAAACAAAAATGCAACTGATCGCTAAATTAACTAAACATTTTTTATGCATTTTTGTAAATTTAAAATGATTGACTTACCGTCTTGAGCGCAACTCTCTGAATGACAAACAAACCTCAAGGCTTGTGATCATCTTTAATATGCATTGCATCTGTGGCAGGTGTTGAACTAATAAATCATTGATTTTAGCTAAGTATTTTAAGCAAAGAAGACCAATTCGATGTTCTCTGGGTACCCAATGATGAAATAACATCCACTTTAGTTAAAATACATTGTCGGTGTAATGAAATCTATTTTTCTTTTTTTGGCAGCATTTTGAGATTTAGCATACACTGAAAAATACAGCATCCAAAATTAAAAGGTATGCTTGCCAAATTCGCGTTGAAGGGTTTTCAAGGAAAGTTGCCAATTCATTTAGTCAATTTGTCAATTTTTTTCATTCGTTATCTATCATATCTTCATACATAAACTTGGTCTCCTTCTTGAGCCCGCTTTTAGAGAAACAAAAGTCACTTAGCGTGAAGATGTCCATTTTAATGCGGAAATTTATTTTTGTAACTAGTGAGAAGGCAACGGTTGTCTATGCTTGAATTGATAAACACCTTCTATTTTTGGTGTTGTTTTGGTCACGTGGTTTGACACTTGAACTATATTCGCCTTTTTCCTGCAGTATTTGACTTTTTGGAACCCTCACCGGCCCGGCATAAACGTGTTTTTCGTTATCATAACAGTGAATCGATTATTTTGCCTTCGAACACTTTGCATTTGTTTGTGAAAACCGCTGTTTCATTGTAGTTGGATCTTTTGTAGCTTTTCCGCATGAACTCTCAAAATAGAGTTTTTCTCCTACGCTTCGCAGTTTGGGAAATCAAACTGGATCAAAAAGTTTTTTTCGACATTCTGCATAACAAAGTACACAGTACAAAAGACAGAACGAGACCGATTGACTGATTACCTGCTATCAACTGCAAGTTTAACTTTCTATCCGGCCAAGAAAATTATACTATAAAGCCCTCCTCGTTGTTTATGGGGTCAAAATGGGCGTTGTCAAAAATATAGGGTACTCAACTAGTCTTGATTTTCTCTCCTTACAACTCTATTATTCCAAAGCATTTTAAATATTTGTAGTTTATTTTCAATTATAGATACGTTTGAGACAGATGGAAACTTACAAGTTATGCCAGTTTATAAAAAAATCATTATTTAGATATGTAAATTATATACAGTCAATGCCTAAATTTTACGGTGCAGACCTTAGCACCGACGTAGAAAAAACTTTTGTTGAGAGTTCAAGCCGTAGTTTAGGTATTTGGAGATCGTTTATTCTCCGAGTTTCGTATTTTGAGATCTGAGTTCTCCTCGTTAACTTCCCCTTGAGAATTTCTGGGCACATTTCGTTGAGAATTTTGTGTACCATTGTGGCCCGGTCATATGTCATAACCTTCTCAACTCTTAATCGTGCGGTTGGTATCTGATCCTTAATCGTGTGGTTTCAGTACTTCAACAACATACTGGCTCCCAGATCTCGGTCGGCACAAGGCTGCGGGACAACGCCAAATGCATTAAGGCTGTGGGACAACGCCCAGTGCATTAAGGCTGTGGGACAACGCCCAGTGCATTAAGGCTGCGATTGATATTACACCATTTTTTTTCAGTTTTCAGTTTTCCTGCTTGTAGAAAATGCCGCGGAATTAGCTGCGAAAGCCCGATGCGTTTGGATGACTCACCATTTAGTTGTGAGGAATGAATAACCAGATACTTAAAGACTCGATGCTAACAATGGTCCATTGCGCTACGCAAGCATCCCATAATGCATTTTCAGACAGTCTGAAATCAATTATGGTTAATCCGTAGAAGTTTACTGCAATTGTTTGGATTGTCGCCTGGATAATTTGCCACCCTCGCAAAGGCTCATGGTTAACAATGAGTCTTTAAAGCGCACGTTTGGCAGTAGCAATGTTGATTTTAAATTTGCATTAAAAACATTTTAATAGTTCTTCCTGTTTTTTGCAAGAAAACAATTATAACGGGAAAATCTAAGGTTATGACGTCATATCGACGTAATCAGCAGCCATTTTTGATTTAATTTTTGAATCGTCAGATTAAGCTATAAGCTTTGGACGTGCATGTGGCATAATCAAACGAACTTTAATGCTCATACGCAATCCAAATTTTATAAATAGCTATTTATATATCGATTTTATATATGCAAGGTGTACCACTAGGGCTCAAAGTATGAGAGAATTTAAAGCAAATATCATGGGGCGATTTTGGAGGGTTCCACAGCTGGGATTTTATGGGACTTTTTTATGAACAAGTTTTAGCTGATGGACTTTCGATTGCAGCTTAAAAAGATTTTGTTGCAATTTGTTCAGAGTCAAAAAACAGTTTGACTGAACTATTTCTACCCTGCTCTAGCACAACCCTACGACGAGTGCTATTGCACAAAGTGCTATTGCTTTTTGACAAAGAACACGATTATTTTAGCAAAACTAAGGCGAGGCTCAGA